CATAGTCACTCCCTCAAACTTGGTATGGAGCCTAAAAAGTTCGAGTAGACCGCTTGTTTTTTAGCAAACGGGCACTCAAACCACTACTCCTACTGAGTTACCACTACTTGGGTTAATCGCCAACAAACATTGGCAAATCAAGGGGATCAGCCGGCCTACACCGTCTGGTACCTCTACTACTCAAGTTAAAGAGTGATGAAGACTGAGTAACTCTCACGTTAACTTATAGTCACTCAAACTTAGCATAAAACTTAAAAACTTGTCTACTTAAGACTGTCGCCTGTAACCAAACAGGCGTACCGACTTTGGTTGGACGACCTATTCAACGTCTGCTACTATGCAGCCGTCAAAGCTGACGACCAGCCTTCTCTTAACGAAATAAACTAAGTGCCAAACTTAGTATATTGAACAGTCGGCCTAAACGGCCTAAAGTCCCTAGCCTAAACGCGTTCCTACTTGGTGGACTTTGCAAATTACATGACCGATTGAGCATATGGCCGACTGACTGCCCAGCTTGGAAACAGACAACCAGTCGTCCAGGGGCATAGGCGGACCATTCGTACCTGTCTACAAACGGCCATGCAAAACAGTCGACATAGTGTACCAGGCAATATCAAATATTCAACACTTAGACAAATTTGATTCAAAAAAGTGATTTCATTGATAAAGGTAAAAATATTCAAGACCCCGGCCCCCTGGCCGGGTAAAGACAAACAAACGGCACGCAGGCCGTGGAAAAATACAAAAAGCTTAATGGGGCAAGTCCTAAGCATTAGCAGCGTCCGCCTGGTCAGCTTTTCTCTTGCTAGACTCGGCCTTAGCTGCATCCTTTTTCGATGCCTTGTCCCCAAGTGGCACGAGCGCCACTATCGGTTGATCATCCCCATCCAAGGCCTCCTCCAATGCCTCGTCCTCAGCAGCCGCCAGGATCTCTTGATTATAAGTTTCAGAGCACTGGCGATAAGTTTTTTCCCACGAGGCAAAGTCGGCACTGGGGAAGAGGCGGCTCCATGTCATGCGCTGGATCTGAGAAGAGTCTTCCATCATCTCTCGGACGAGCTCCCGTTTTTCTTGCTCAGCCTTGGCCGAGAGCTCTTCAGTTAGACTCTTCTCCTGGGTCACCAGGCGTTCCTTTACGTTAGCCAAGGACTTCTCCATGGCTTCGTAAGACAACATCTTTTGGCGGAGAGGCTTGAGCTCGGCCTTCAGATTGGAGACGGTCGCCTCCAGTTCGCTGTTCTTCTTCTGGGCCGCCTCTAACTCGGCCCGGATGGCGGCGGCAGCCTGCGCCTGATAGTAAAGAATATCAATTGTCAGAGTTTCATTTTGGGCAATTTGAAACATTGCCTTATCACAGTTAGAGGCGGCCATAGCCTTGGCAGCCTTTACCTCTTTGTTTTTCCGATCAAGCGGCTTGCGCAAGCCGTTCACTCGGAGCAGGGCCTAAGTAAAGAGAAAGCAGGCGTCAGTTTCCAACAAGATAACAGGCGTCCTGGAATATAAATACTCAAAGAAAAAATGTTAAGTATACCTCAGCAAGGACTCCTGCAATACCATCAAGGTCAAGGGTGCCGACACCCCTGACCGCCTCCCTCTCAGATGGAGGAACTGCTTTGATCATGGACTTGGCAACCTCTACCAAGTCTGGCTCCTGAGGGCCGGCTGCATCAAGTGTAACAATAAACAAGTTAGATTTAGTCAAGAAAGAAGCAAGGGTTAGAGATTTTACAAGGAATTTGTCCATACCTCTAGGCGGCCCCGCCGGAGCTTTGGAAGAAGTGGCCGGCTGCTTCTCAGCCGCCACTGTTTTCCTGGAAGACCCAGGAGAGCTAGCAACAGTCGTCCTCCGGGCCTTGGGGTCCGGCTGTTGCGAGGTTGAAGCTCTTGGAGTGCCCGACTGAAAAAAGGAAAGAGTTAGCATATGTACCAACTACAACTCCAACAAGAGAAAGGTTCAAAGCTCACCAAGGGTGCCCCCTTGTTGGGGGAGTCGGCATAGGACTGCTGCATGACAGAGGCCCGCAACATGGCCGCCGCAGTCTTCGATGCAGTAATCTTACTCATAGCGTCGGCTGCAAAAAAAAATAAAATAAAATAAACAACAGAGTTAATAAAAATCCTAAGCAAGATGTAAAAAGCAGAGTATTTGTCAAGCCGGCTACCTCTGGAGCACCGACTGCTAAGGCCACAGGCGGCCAGAAAGTACTCGTCATAGAGCCACTTGAAGCTCGGGACGCAGTTAAGGGGTACTTGCTCTCGTACCCCTGAGGTAGAGTTCACCCTAGTCTCTACCTTGAAGAGTCCTTTGTCCAGGATCTCTTCTTTAGCCTTTTAGGGAACAGGCGGCATGCTGCGGCCGCCTGCAAGAAGAGGCGGATCCCTGTTCCACTTATTGAATCGTTTGTTCAGCTCCTTGTCCGAACTCTCGATGATCAGGAAGGTGTTCCGCCAATCCTTCCATTTGTTCGCTTTACCTCTCGTCATGAGGTAACCCCTGTGGCTTGTTATTTGATACCAGCCGGTACCGCCTGACTTTGGGGTCCGGCTGAGATAATTCATGTGGGCGAAAGCCTCGAAGCTAGGCTCCACCCCATACATTTCGCACCCGGCCACATAGCCGAGTACGTTTACCCAAGAATTGGGGGCTAACTGCCATAGCCCCAGATCGTACCCATCCAAAATCCGCTGAACAGCCGGATGTAATGGGAAGCGCAGTCCAGCTTTGATGGCCGCCACATAGCAGCCAAAGCAGCCGTCATCGTAGCTGGTACCAGCCGGCCAGACGACAGTATCTTCTGGATCCGGCACGAACATTAAAAACCCAGGGCCCATTCTGTGGTTAGCTATAAAACTCTCCACTTTGTCTTTCATCAGTGTGATCCGGCCCCGGGGTACCATGCTGTAGTAAGGGGTGTTCTCCTCTCTGTAAGAAGCAGACGGCTCGGCCCAGTCGCTCCCTTTCTCAGCCGCATGAGAAAGTCTCGCCTCTTGTAGGCGGCTGTTTCTCTCTTCTGAGCCTGGAGAGACGTGGTCAGAAGAACTAGAGTCAGACTCGTCCTCTGACGAGTCTGAAGAGGACGACTCTTCCCCTCTCCCAGAGGGGCCCGCCTCCTCTCCCTTAGAAGGAGGAGAAGAAAAGTCAGACATATCAACGGTGAGATGGGAAGGGACCACCTTGGCCCCCCCCTCCGAACTCTCGGCTTGGCAGCCGCTTTGTCTCACTTCTACATCCGGCGCCTGGTCAGATGTCTCGCTGATGGGCGCCCTTTGAGAGGAGCCGTCCGAATTTGATATCCTGGCAGTTTGTTTTGTTCTGGCCATCACGTTCTGCATAGACACAGATACAGTCGGACTTTGTATAAAGGGCAAAGATGGGTCCAGAAGAGGGCAGGCGGCACTCCTAGTCCTAGATTCAGCCGTCCCCGGTGACCGGCTGATCACTAACTTAGGGCGTGTCGAGTGCTTCCATGGTGCCATTTCAAAATAAATAATAAGTAAAAAAAAAAAAAAAAAAAAAGTTAAGGGAAAGAGAACCGACGGTTACCTGAACGAGTGTTGGTTGAAGAGATTCTGAAATCCTTTGCAAACGGCTTGTCAGAGCAGGCGGTAGGCAACAAGAGTCCAAATTGTCAGAGCAAGTTCAGGGGTCCGAATGTTCTCGCAAAGTTCTCAAATGTGAAAATGACTGAAGTCAACACTTCCTTATATAGGCAAAGTGAGAAGGCGAAGGGTCGCTTCTAAATTCAAAATTTGGGCGGGAAAATCTCTCGGCCATCTGCAAGGTGACACCTGTAGCAGGCCGTCGCCTGTCACCATGCGACACCTGTCACAGGTGACATGTGACCAGTCACGTGCCACCTGTGAGGGGCAAATGATTAGGGGATTTTTATCCACCAATCGCTGTCTGACAAGTGGATCAACCAGGTTCCTCCATGTGTCCTCCATGTGGGCCAATGGGAGCCTGCCACGTGTCAGTCACAGATATGTCCTCTACGGACCAGTTGAGACACGCCACGTGTCCACCCATGCCAAATGGGGAAACCCGGCCACCAAGGCCCAATCCTGTTATGAGGCCCAGTCAGCCCAAGGTTTACCCTAAACCTAAGTCTGGCACGCTTCCCGAGGCTATAAATACCTCTCTTAATCCTCATTAAGAGGGGGGACACACAGAAGTTAACTCGCATAACAGAGATTACTCACATTTATCACTCTCACCTAGAGAGACCTAATCACATTCTAATCACATTTATTTCCGCATTTATTACTCCTTAATCTGGTACTAACTTGATCGTCGGAGGCGGAGCTCCTACCACAAGGAGTCTTCGTTGTTTTGCAGGTACAGGCGTCCGGTTCCAGTCTTGGTGTTGTAACTCTCCCGAAGGACATCAGAAAACCCCGAAACAATTGTTATCAAATTTTTTTGGACGGTGAAAGCGGTAAGTTGAGGTTAATTATACGAAGTATTTTTTATAACAAGGGTAAAAATGTAATTTTAAGTTATAATGCAGGCGTTAGTTGGAGATTCGAGGGCGAGGTTTAGCGTTCCAATAGAAAACAAGAAAATTGTATTTCAACTTTTTAGCTATCATTTATCAAATTAATCATGATTTTGAAATTTTGACTAATTTATGATTCATTATATGATATATATATCATATAATTATGATTATAAAAAAAAATTTAAAAAAAAATAAAAAAACACCAAAAAAACTAAAAACCACGCACATCAAATCATCAATGCCAAATGAGCCCTTTATTAACACTTTAATGAAATTAGATTATAAGACGGTAAAATTCTTAAATAAGGCCATATTTTGTATAATTCATTTTTATGAGGGTTACCAATTTCGTATCTCACAAATTGAGGATCACCATTGAAAATTTCCAAAAATAAAACTACTTCCAACGTAACATTGTTATTCTCCAAAACAATTCATTAACTACCTTAATTCAACAATTCTTAAAAAAAATAAAAAGAAAAAACTATACATAAAAAAAAATTTAAACAAAAATAAACAAGAAAAACAATATTATTCCATAATATATATCCCTTGCATAGTAAGGGTACAAGCTAGTATATATAATTTATGGAACATGCATCATTATTTACTTACAAAACTTGAAATGAAAAAAAAAAAAAAAAAAAAAAAAAAAAAAAAAAAAAAAACCACCTTGAAATGAAAAATTCATTCTATGGCAAATTAAACTTGTGAAGCAATCGATTTAATTATGTATCAACCTTGAAAAATTCACATTCATAATCAAATCTATCATTGCCAATCAACTCATGCAGATTAGGGACCATTTCTCCAGGAGCAACCCCAGGGGTCACGGCAGGTCGGGTTCGTCACCGTAATCATTAGGACCAACAGTTGATGGACTTGGAGCGTCAAGTAAATGGCGACTTGTTGTAGATTGGCACCCCTCCTTGGACTCTGGTAAACAAAAGTGAGAGTTTTATTAATGAAGTTTCAAGACAATTCGTAACTAAACCCGAGGTTTTAACGGTAGAAGCTACTTGTAACCATACATCACCCTCCAAAACCACTAGACCCACCATGCAAACTACTCAAAAAAACCCTAACCATCTCCATAAACACCCCTAACCACCTCCAAAAACTGGAGTTTATCTCTTCAATTGATAGAATTCGAAGGTTCGTTGCTAGGAAGAATAGAGGAGAGTGAAAGTCTAATTAGAGAGGAAAGGGGAAAAATGAAAGGAATTCAAGGGGTTTTTTCAAGTGGCTGGTGATGGCGGCTAGGTTGGTGGGTGGTGGTGTCGGCCGTTGGGTTGGCTAGGCGGCGGTGTCGATGTCGACGCCTCGGCAGCTAGATTGTGGTTTTGTGGTTCTGAGGAGAGAGAAAGTAATTGGAGAAAAAATTGGGGAAAAAAGAAAAAAAAAAAAAAAAAGGTGTGGACACGTGACCTTCATGTGATGGTCAACACCGAAAAACCGAGTCAATCCCCCTAAAATCGCCCTAAGGGTGTGTTCTCGCAAAAAATTCTGATTTTAGGTTTAAAAGGTGTTATTTGACAAATTTTCCATAAATAACAAAAAAATAAGAAAAAAGGTATTTTGGTTGATAAATTTGAGAAAAGGCATTATAAATTATAATACTACATGTTTTTCAAAAAAAATAAATTATAATACTACATCAATAAAAACTGTTTTTTTCAAAAAATTCAAAAAAAAAAAATAAAAAATATATATCAACTTACAAACACTGCTATTTTTTAAAAAAAATTTAAAAAAAAATCCGCTTTTTTAAATTAATAAAAAACAACTACTCTCTTTTTTTTTGTTTTGAACGGAAAAACAACTACTCTCTTTAATCATACATATTATCTTAGGAAAAAAAATTAACCAATTCAAAACACAAGGAACAATGATTATCTTGTTGCCATGCTTAATTTTGATTATCAAAAAGTTTATTAATTTCTTTTTATATAGGTTCTATTATTTACAGAAATAAAATTATAAATTACAAGTAAGCAAAATAATAATCCTCTGTCAAAAAAAAAAAAACAAACTCACCAGCATGTAGGTTGTAACGGTTAGACTCAACCAGGAGTCGAGTTGAAACCGCAGAGGGGAAGAGAAGAGTGAAGGCTAAAAGAATGCCAACAAGATAAACTGATTTTGAAGAGATCATCTTACTTATTTTGTCTATGTGAAAGAGTCGAACATGTATTTGTAGCCCGTCAAAGACTTGAGGGTAGGGGTGTCCTTATCAACCCGGTCCTACTTAACCCAAATCAAACTTAAACGTTAAAACCCCATATGGAGAATGATTTATAAATCTATCTATATTTGTTGTATATTAAAAATGAAGTATACACGCCGCGTGTCACCCTCCATTCCACTAACAGAATGTTACATCATCCAATTAGGAACAAATTAAATAAGATGTCACATCACCCAATTAGAAATATAAACAAAACATATCAATTAAAAAATGTTTATGTCAAAAATTAATTTGGGTCAATTGGAAAATGAATAAGATGTCATATCAATTTTTGCTATCTAATAATTTTGTTTATTTAATTTTCTTAAATAGTTATGTGGACCATAAGAGTGTATTTATTTGTACTTTAAATTGTTTTCTTAGATTAAATCTAAACTAAATTGATGTACTTAAGATTATTATGTATATAAAAAATAATACTATAAGTCAAATTCATCTACATAAAATATAACACATGAAAATTAAAATACAATAATATTTAAAGTATTGATATATGCGGGACATCCCCGCGGTTAAACACTAGTTTATACTTGATATTACGTAAAACTAGTACTTGATTTTGATCCAACTTGATGATATACGCTAAGTGACAGCTACAACTACATTTTCATTAGTTTAATTTACACTAATTAAATTCAACTAGTTTATTTTGTTTAAAACTACTATAAAGATAGCGTTATTTGTGAATAACTACTTTTTTTTTATTATTTGTTTAGAACTACCGCAAGTTATGAAACGTTTGGATAACACTACCAAGTAACGTTTTTTGTCCAAATAAGACATTATTGGGGCTCACTTTTTCACTTTTCCTACCTAATTAATACTCATATGGTCCTCTGGATTCTTGTAGAGATTATGAAACCCTAGATTTTCAAATCTCGTCATACAAATATAAAAAGAAAATAAACTCAAGAGAAAAATAATCATCTTAATAAGGTTGAAAAAATCAATCTATTTATTGAAATCAATTAAAAGGTTTTTAGAGTTTACCACCGGTAAGAACACCAGTGGAAGCCCCTATAAAGATTCACAACTTAGACCAAGAGAAAAGAGATGGTAGAGATGGAGAGAAAAGAGAGAAGAGAGAAGAGAGAAGGAGAACTTTCAAAAAAAAATTGACGAAACCTAGCAATGGAGGTTAGAAAAAACCCTCCCAACACAAAACACCCTCCCACCATTTAATTTAAGTTTTAGTTTCATATTATTGTTCAAATACAAGCTTGTATTAGTGCTTGTTCATATACAAGCTAGTGTTAGTGCTTCTTACTTTATTAATGACAATTTTTTTTATATATTACTCTCTCCATTTCATAATAATCGAAACACTTTGACTGCTACAAATGTCAATGCACAACTCTGATCATCTGTATTTCTAGAAGCATAAAAGGTTAGCATAATGAAAATATACATAAACACTAATCCAAAAATATTTTACATGTATGTAACCATATGTGTTTTATATTTTTTTATGTAAAAAGTATAGTCAAAATAAACATGTGAGTGCAAAAGTAAAATTGTTGCAATTATTACAAAACCGAGGGAGTAACATCTATGACAGTATGTATGGATAATAAATACACTAATATTAATGTATGTATTAATTATTATTGATTAGTCATGTTGGTACTCGTTTTAATTGTCTCAATAATGTATATTTTCTAAATATCAAATAATTTAAATGACACAACCCTATATGAAGTAAGCCTCTGATGGCTATATAAGAATTTGCTAAAATTCTACAGTAAATGACGCGTACCGCTATGTACCACTAAAGTAATGTACCACAATGTACCACTATTAAATTTAATATATATTTTTTGTATCTCTTTATCATAGTTTGACTCTAGCTAAGATGGTGAATTGCATTATTGTTTTGATTAGTGGTTTAAGGATCAAATCTTTGTGCTCACCATATATTTTTTTTTCCCTTCTTACATATTTTTTTCCAAAATTGATAACTATATAATTAATGCAGTCACTTCTCATTTTTTTAAAAAATTTTCCCTTCTCATATATTTTTTTTGAAAATTGATAACTATATAATTAATGTAGTCCCTTCTCATATTTTTAAATTTTTTTCCCCTTAATTTTTTTCCCTTCTCATATTTTAAAATTTTTTCCCTCTAGACCACCTTCAAAAAGAAATATAAAATACATATTTGATTTATTTTACATCATACAACCTTTTTAAATTACTCGTTGGACTATATTAATTATAAACTTATCAATTTCGAATCCTTTGCAATTTATTAGATCCATTTTTTCCTCTCTAATTACCTTCAAAAAGCAATATCAAATACTTGTTTGATTTATTTTACATCATACAACCTATGTAGATTATTCGTAGGACTACTTATATTTTAAAATTCTTATCAATTTTAAATCCTTCTCACTGTATTAGATCCACCAAAGTTATTATTCACTACAAAAACGAGAGCATTTTAGCAACAAAGTTTGGCAACAAAATTATAAATTATTGCTGAATAGCGACAAAATATTTTAAATATAGACTTCTCTAAAATTTGAGTTATAAACAATTTTAAATGAGCCAATAAAAAACACAAACTAATGGGCTTATAAACAATCACGAACGAATTGATGTTTGTGAGCCTAAGAAAATCGAATACCAAGTTGTTCTAGATGAGCTTGTTTATTAAATAACTTGAATTTTTGTTTATCAACTAACAAACGGGTTTTGAATGAGTTGTTTAAGGAGTGCTTTGTTTAATAGACATCCCTTGATCCCTATTTGTTTCTTTGAATAGGTTACTACGAAGTATATTTTATGAAGATCTTTGCCTTGACTTATAAAAGATTAAAAAAAATTACTTCCTATGTTTTTTTTGGTACTCATTTATCTTTTCTCACTAATCAATTGCACTTTTTTTTTAATCATCCGTATCTTTAATTTCGTATTGTAAAATTTATACAACGTTAGTCTTGTTAAGACCACACACAAACATATTTTTTCTTACATAGTTATGACTAGCGAGTGGTCTAAATTTGAGTTCTTTTACAGAGACTAGTAATTGTGTCATTTTACATGTTTTATTTTTCGATAAACTATGAACTTCATCATATTTTCTTATTACGAAGTATATTTTTATACCTGACTCACATCTTACCTTTTTTTTTTTTTTTAGTTTAATTCTCAAATCTAGTTATTTATTGATGTAATGTAATTTCCACCAAAATTTGTACAATCTTCAAATTCGTTGGCAAAATTAGTTTTGGTGGTGTTTTAAATCATTGGCACACGTACACCTTAAACTTTTTTACAAAAATTATTTTTTTTAAAAAATAGAGAAAAAAAAAGCTATAGCCAAATCAAAAAATCAAAAACACAAAGCCCTAGAAAAAAGCCTAACCGCCATCTCTAATCTCCACATTGCTCTGCTAGCTCTTAGTCACCGGCTACCGACTCCATGCTGCAATTCATCAATAGTCATGAAAATCTATGATTGATTTTTTTTTTTTTTTTTAAATCACCATCAATTGTATTAGAGAATATAATACAATTAATTTGTCGTATAATTTTTTTTTTTTTTTTTTTTGAGCAATTATGCACATGACCATGTATACAAAAAGTTTGTAATCATGGGATATAATTTTCTGCAAGTTATTCCTAATTTGATATTTTGGGCAATTTCGAACTTAGATTTTCAATTGAATCCTCAATGGGGTGTTAATTTGACAGAGGTTTGAATGAGAGAACAGGGAACAATGGAAACTGAAAAAACGTGAGAAAAATAAAATTAAAGGGGTTAACTGTTTTTTATTTTTTAAAAATTTATTTGTCTATATATATATAATTTAATAATACATAGTAGTACATAAAATTTACAATACATATCAATATTTGTCATGTACTGTAGACTCTCCCAAGAATTTGTGCAAATAATTTATGATTATCGATAATAATTAAAGATATTTTTGTTTAAATGTCTTGATTGACAAATATGCCCGTTAAAGTGGGGGATTTATTTTCAAAGATGAAGTAAAAAACTCAAAGTTGAAAGTTCAAAGTCTAGTCTTCTCATCCCGTCAAAAAAAAAAGGTCTAGTCTTCTCCAAAAAAAAAAAAAAAAAAAAAAAAGCCCTTAAGGAAGTGCAACAAAAAAAGAGGGGAAAAAACATAGCGTCTAAAATTCAAAGTTGAAAGTTCAAAGTCTAGTCTTCCCCACAACTTGCCTACTTGCATGTCTCTACATCCTAATCCCTATTGATAATGAATTGCGAGTATATCTTTCTTCCAACTTTCACCTTGACTATCATAGTATCATGTATGCTTTTGTTTAATAAGTGTTTACAGAAATCCGATCCATTACTGAATTTACACCATAGTTTGTAAGAGTTATCTTTCTCTATTCTTTTTTGAGAAGTTATAGCAATTATCTTGAAAAATAAAGCATGTCCGGCTCAAGCATTGTATTTAACTTGATCGTTTTCGCCACGTCTATGCTGTTGTGTTTTCAGCACTCTAAAGTGGGCGGGAACAATGAAACAGAGAGATTGGCATTGCTTGAAATCAAAGCACAAATACGCGATGATCCCTTGGGTATCATGACCTCGTGGAATGACACCCGACACTTTTGTAAGTGGCACGGTGTTACTTGTAGCCGTAAATATGAGCAAGTGACGAAACTAAACCTGAAATCTGCACATCTCACGGGTACACTCTCTTCCCATATAGGAAATTTAAGTTTCCTTACAAAATTGTTCCTTGAAAACAACTTTTTTTATGGTAGGATCCCGGAAAGTCTAGGAAAATTAAAGAATATGACCTTTTTATCTTTAGAAAACAATATGTTTTACGGCATAGTCCCTCCTTCAATCTATAAACTCTCGTTATTGATAAATTTATCTTTCCTACGTAATGACTTAAAAGGTAACCTACCTTCAGATTTAGGCATTACTCTTCCTCGTCTTACATTCTTGTCATTAAGCTACAATCAATTCACCAGTCATATTCCGGCTTCAATATCCAATTGTTCAAATTTAGAAACTCTCCAACTCCATAATAACAATCTTCGAGGACAAGTTCCTTCTCTAAACAAGTTAGTTAGACTAACTCACCTCGTCCTTTCCCATAACAACTTAGGTTATAATCAACCTGAAGATTTCAATTTTGTTTCATCCTTGGCCAATTCTACCAACTTACAACTATTAGAGATTGATCAAAACAACTTCTATGGAGCTTTTCCTCAAGTCATTTGCAATTTCACATTGCTTACTTACTTGTTCTTAAATGATAACCACATATATGGTGAAATTCCAATGTGCATCGAAAACTTATTGAAATTGCAAATTTTTTCGGTTTATGATAACAATCTTTCTGGGGTCATACCCCAAAACATAACCAAGCTCCAAAATCTCTACATCTTGTATTTGCATAACAACCATCTAACTGGGGTCATTCCACCTTCAATCGGAAACTTAACTAGGTTGTCAGCCTGTTACCTAGCTAATAATCGAATTCAAGGCCAAATACCTTCGAGTCTAGGAAATTGTACATCACTAACATCATTATATCTTGCTAATAACAACCTTACTGGCAAAATACCCGTAGAACTATTTAACCTCCCCTCCTTGTCAGTCCAAGTTGATTTATCCAAAAACAAACTAGTTGGTTCTCTACCTGATGAAGTTAGACAACTAACTAATCTTCAGACCCTTCTACTCTCAAGCAACATGCTATCTGGTGAGATACCAAACTCTATCAGTAGTTGTGTCGCGCTAGAGTACTTGTACCTTGCAAAAAATAAGTTCCATGGAGCTATTCCTGATGCATTGCACTCATTAAAGGGTCTCGTTGAACTCGATTTGTCATACAACAATTTGTCAGGTCCGATCCCACAGTTTCTAGAGAGTCTGCAGTTGCGATTGCTGAATATATCACACAATAAACTTGAAGGTAAAGTACCCATTGGCGGAGTATTTAGCAATGCAACTAATGTTTTAGTCGATAACAATAGTAGGATCTGCGGAGGCATACCTGAACTGAAGTTACCCCGCTGTAGTGTAAGCCAAAACAGTCAGAAAAGAAGTTCAGTGCAGAGGAAAAAATTGACAGTCGCGATTCTTTCTGCATTTTTTGGAGTCATTTTTCTGCTAGCTTCACTTGTGTTTGTGTATATATTCTGCAAGAGAAAGAGGATTCAGGAGCCTACACCTTTCAATGGCACGGAAAATTTTCCAAATTTATCATACCAAACTCTGTTTCAAGCTACAAATGGGTTTTCTGCAGAAAATTTGATTGGCAGTGGTACATTCGGGGTTGTGTACAAAGGAATCCTAAAGACTGATGGATCAACTGTTGCCATCAAGATATTTAACCTTGAGTATCGCGGTGCTTCAAAGAGTTTCATTGCTGAATGTGAGGTCCTTCGAAACATTAGACATCGAAATCTTCTGAAGGTGATAACAGCTTGCTCAAGTGTTGATCATCAAGGTAGAGATTTTAAGGCATTAGTCTATGAGTACATGGTGAATGGAAGTTTGGAAAATTGGTTGCATCTATCACAAGCAATAGATAAGGTTGAAAGCACATATAAAACATCGAGAACCTTGGATTTTCACGAAAGACTTGATATTGCAGTTGATGTTGCATTATCCTTGGATTACCTTCACCGTCAATGTGGTGCCCCTATAGTTCATTGTGACTTGAAACCGAGCAATATCCTCCTCGATGATGACTTGGTTGCTCATGTCGGTGATTTTGGGCTAGCCAAGATCCTCCTAGAAGGCATCAATAGCAGTCATGCAAACCAGTACAGTTCTGTTGGAGTTAGAGGAACTATTGGTTACACTCCTCCAGGTAACAACTCAGCTTAGTGTTCTTATTTTTTGCTTTATCAGTTGTATGTTTTCATTGTACTAATATTTGAGGCATGATCTGAATGCAGAATATGGTCTCGGAAATGAGGTGATTACCAATGGCGATGTCTATAGCTTCGGGATCCTTTTACTCGAAATGTTTACAGGAATGAGGCCTACCGATGACATGTTCAAAGGCAGCTTGAGCTTACATAACTTTGTGAAAAATGCTATACCGGAAGAGATCGACACGATTGTAGATCATACTCTAATAGAAGACATAGACAAAGAGAAAGACACCAACAAGAGTGTGATGTTGGAGGCCTTAACTTCTGTACTTGTTGTAGCACTTTCTTGCTCAGCTGAAGTGCCACAAGAAAGGTTGGACATGAGTGATGTAGTTGCAAATTTATCACTAATCAGAAATAAGCTTCTTGATTAAGAAAATGTATTAACCACTATTGTTTCAATTAATGTAATTTATCCCCACTGATCATGGAATAAAGTTAATCCATGCTTTCAACTTGTTTGTAATCTTGTATGTTTTCCGATGTATAAAAAGAATGTATTTATAAAGGGAAGACTCTTCCTCTCAAACTTATATTATTAATCACTCAGTTCAGTCAATTAGTCATTATCAATGATACAATCATCCACACATTTGGTTATAGAATTAAGTCAAAGATAAATAATATTTAGGGGATGGTTAAACACCAACTAATCATGGAATAAACATACAAGAAACAGAACTTAATCTTTTTTCTGCAAACTGCAAGATAGTTGATTGGCGCAGCAGAAGGGCATGTACATCCTCGGCTTATCCACTTTCCTTGTAAAATTGCACCAATCTAGTACACCAAGTGAGTATAAAAAGCATCCGGATATGAAGCTGTCTCAGAGTACCTGGAGGCAACTCCTGCATCCTGTCATCCAATTCCTGAACTATACTTTCACACTGGTCCCAGAACTCGTTTGGTGATGTCTTAGCACAACTCTGAGCCAAGATCAATAAGTCCTCAATAGTTTTCTGCCATCCAGGATGATTTTCTGTATTCTTTTCTAAAAGACCAACTAAATCTGCTGCAAAAGCAGCTAAATCTGAGTCTACTTCTTCCTTGTCTCTCTCAAACCTTTCTCGTATCAGGACTAAAACCTCCTACATAACACATTGATTTCTAAAGGTAAACAAGTACTCAAAGGAGTCATAACTCATAACATATAACATCCAGAGAAGGATAAATTACAGATAATTATACTTACCTCCTGGTTATTTAAACCACGAGGTTTCCCAAATGAAAAAGGAGTACATACTCCTTTAGAGTTCAACTCATGGGAAAAACTTTTTACATCTGCAGGATTTCTTTGCCTTGGAGCACTTGTAACACGATGAATGTCTTGAAAACAAGGAGATTCAGACTCCTTCAGAATTTCACAATCAGAAGCTATCTGGGGAATAAAATGTTATAATTTAACTCAAACATAAACGAAAACAGAAGCAACATAGCACTGCTAAATAAGTCCATTCACAAAATTTCCATATTATCGTTGAGAGGGGGGACTAACAACCTGTACTTCAGGAGTATGAATATCTGGACTTGGTATGCCTCCTGACTGCTCCCATGACGAATTTAAGTTCCCTGCATCATTATACTTCGTATCTATTACGAAACAGTTGTAGATAGGTAACAAATATGGAAAATTTTTATTTTTAAGGGTAAAGGAGTTATAGTCCTGTTTTTATAAGTGGATTTAAGTGTAAAATTAAGATCATTGATCAAAATTGAGGTTTTGTTCACAATAGTGGTAACATACTAGTAGTTGTGTTGCCAAAAAAAGAAAAAATGATGTAGATGTCAGTAAGCTGATTATAGCTGAAATAGCATGATTTTGGTACTTTTCTGTATGAAAACTGATATAATTATTGGGCTTTAAATTTAGTTTTACAATTTGGGGTTAATTTAATGAAATTTTAATGGCATAAAACTATCTGCATTTTCATCTTGCTAATTTTACACCCAGTTACATGTAATTCACTCTAAAATTTTGTATTCACTCTTCAATTTTAAATTAGGATTCTTAATTTGGGATTATATATTGTAATCGTTAAATGTGAACCTCAATAACGAAACTTTTGACAGAATCTATCATCCGGTATGGTAACAAAACAAAAACTTCTATCAAGAAATAAAGTAAGAGGTACACCGTAGTTGTTTGTATCATATTTGACATTTCCCGCCTTTTAACCCTTTTTTTAAAATTTCATGCTCATACTAAATGACGCAATTGATGAAATGATCATTGATCATATACTCTTACATAATTATAAGCAAGAAAACAAAGTCTCTTCTCAATTGATGAAATGATCATTGATCATATACTCTTACATAATTATAAGCAAATGAGAAACCCTTACCTGCATTCAACAAACTCGGGCTCGGGTCAGCTCTACCATTCTCGGAAGACATGCTATTACGAATGATGTTGATTAAACCTTTTTCAGATGATTACCCTTCAAACTGATGTGAGGTTGACTGTTGGATTTATCTGAGTCTGATGATTTCTTCTAAGAGAAAATCTGCCTTTAAACACAATTTTTTGTTTTCTTTTGTGAAATTCGAAAAGAGGATTAATCGTAGAATTTCATAAACATGTAGCCTTGTTAAGTTCATAAATGGAGGCTGGTGTAAAGGTCTTCAAAGACCATGTAATAGTATAGATGGCATATAGTAATTACGAGAGAAAAAGAGAGAAATGGTCATGCACTCCGCACGTCTACAAGCATTACAACATATCTGTTGCAATTTTTTTTTTTTTAATTATTATATAGGTAAGGAGAAGACGTCTTATTCTATGAAAATTTTACTTCGATCGATACCATCTAAGTTCGCAAATAAGGCTCCTTAAGAGAGGGAAGGATAATGAACTCCTCACCAATGGGAGACTATCCCACAATCTCATAGTTGTAAATTTGAATAGAAATGTTTGGTAAATACTACAAAATAGTTGTTGATTACTAGTTGTTCATACAAAATGACTAATAAGGACATTGAAATAATTTATTGTTAGCCACATACTTTTGTTAATAATAATAGAGTTATATGGTGATTTTATTGGATACTTATAAAATTATCAATAAATAATAAAAATAAAATAAAAAAATATGGGTAATTGTTGTTTGATGTACATATGAACCATCATTTACTCTCATCCTCTATGTCAGTGCAGATAAAGGTCAAAAACTCACAAGTGTAATTGAATTCAATATTCTTGCTCCGTAGTTATACTGTCTTATATGACATCCGGGAAACGTAAGTCGACAGGGCCAGGACCTAAAATCCCCTTCTGATCACTGATCTTGCCAAGACCAGGAGGCGGCTCTGTTGTACCATTAAGATCATCGTCTCTCCAAGCAGTCCCTTGCCATTCTCTCTGTAACATGAAACCACCAGGTGACCATGAATGACGCCATAAAATAGCGGATCATGCTAAATCTATCAACCATGAAAAATACCATTTATATGGAAACACAATTTACACAACCATTCAGGACTACACCCATTTATCCACCAAATGGCATCCTACAATTCCTTATTTACTTTTCTCCTAATGAGATCACAATTAAAAGTCAAAACTTTAACAATCTCCTGAACCTAAAACTCACTCCTATGAAATAGTATTGTACTTGCCTCATCATAAATATGAGGTCCATCCGGCAACACGGGGGTTGTAATAGGAGGAGCCATGTCTGGATCGGGCTTTCTAAAAATAAATGTTGTGTATAAACCTGGATGGAAAACGTTAAAGCTCGAATAAATATAATAGTTATCCAGGCTTAATGTCAACAGAAGACAAGTATGCAAGAGGAAAGATAAAATTCATCACCTAACACATCATAAGAACGAGGAACAAGTCTTCCACGAGGATCCACCAGATTCGGGCCAAATTTTAAAATTAAACTTCCAAACTGAGCTCTGTCACAAACAGGAAGATGCAACATAAGGTAAAATGAAAAAAACTAGAAGTCATGAAAAAATTATAAAAAAAAAGCCAGATAGTCAGATTTTTTCACATCGTGAAGCTGAAACAAGATAAATGAAGATGACATGGCAGCAATTACAAAACACCTAAAAGGCCATTGGCTGTTACCAAAAACATATGAAAAGCACAAGGGACAGCTAATGAGTCATGAATAGTATATGAAATCTGAATTAAGTCTCTAATTGTCAATGTATACTTCCTCTACCAATGACTTTGAAAATAGAAATTAAGTTATTTCACTTGATTTTCCAATTGCTCTTATATGTGGCTCCATTATTACAAGACACAACAACAAGCACTTATTTTTCAACAGCAACAACTCTGACAAAGAAAAAAAGACATAATAAGATTACCAGTTGAAAAAGTTATTAATAAAAAATAAAAAATAAAAAAAATAAAAAGAGGAGTGTAAAGTGAGAAAAAGAAATTCTTTCAAAATACAAAAATAAAATAAATAAAAAGGGGTATAACAGTTTTGCAAGTATAACACAGTATCTTACAAAAAAAATTGTAAGATTCCAAGGAGGAGGGACAAAAGAGGGAGGGCGAGGGCGCAAAGCCGCAAACTAGCTGTAATTGTACCTGTTATCATCATAAAACTCGGTTAAATTCTGAATCTCTACATACTCGAGACCAGCTTCTCTAGCCAACCTGAGGTCAAAACAACCAAATTAGTTAGGGTCTTAGGAATCTAAATCAAGCTGTCATCCTCCACGTTGTAAGACTGCGGTTAGGTTTCAATTGACACCTTAAGGATTAATTAAAAAAAGAGATCGGTGGACATTGCTGGACTACAGTGTCCACCACCCGCCCCCACTCCTCCCCCACCCCCACCCCCCCCTCCAAAAAATAAATAAATAAATTAAGTAATTAATATCAAAAATAAATAATAAAGGGCCGGCCAATATGAAGTGAATATTGATAATTAGCTAAGTTGCCAAGAATCTACCTGATAAAGCTTGGGAAATGAACTAGGCAATGTGTTTCTGCAGAGTTATCACTAGCAAACTTCAGCTGGTATTTCTTTCCAAACAAGGGGAACCTATATAATTAGAATGATGAATAAGTCAATGACAGAAGACATATTTTCTTCATTTTCTACAAACCAAAAAAGAACAAGGGCAACTTATTTTTCGTTTGTACTAATAAGCAAAACTAAACAAGCAAACAAAAGCATCATTATTTAGGCATACTTTTCTTCCTCCATTTCAAAAGTAATCATGTAGCTCTCTGATCGAATGCAGTTTGGTACAATGTTCGGCTTCATTCCACCACTTTTGTTGTGGTATGCTTCAACATTTTTTTGATACTTTGCCCTGTAGTGAAATCAGCAAAGTACAAGAAATGCTAAGGATATATAACCAACAGTTGGAAGAGGCTCATACAGGCAAGAAATATTGTAATCACACCTTATGTTTGTGCAAACAATCATTAGATAGAAGAAAAACAGGATACCTATTTAATTTAAACAAAAAGGTTTCAACTCTAATTTTACAAAAGAGCATCATTTTAATCACAAGAAAAAAGAGGGTGACACAATAGCAGTAAAAATACAAAAAGAGTTTCTAGAGAAAAAGAAAAGAGGACCTCTGCAAGCATAACTTCATACCATATCATGGAGGAGTCAGGAGTGATTCCTAAAAAGTAACCCCCTGGTTTCAGCAAAGATGAAACATTACGCAGAAGAATCCTAGCTCTCTCTTCAGATGTGAAGCATATCTGCAAAACATGTAAGATGTAGCTAAAATCAAACAAATAATGCCAAATTGTGCTTAACCAATCTCAAAACCCAAATTTCAGATTATAAACCTGTAAATGCTGCATGCAGCAAACAATATCAACTGTGTTGCACATGTCCAGCAAATGTGGTTCCAGAATTTCCTATCAAGGTGATCAGAAAATTTCATATAAAGATATTATAACTAAAGCAAGAAATTTTTACTACCAATGACAGCACACAGCAAAGGAAAAAAAAAAACATTCAGAATATTAATAATGATAAAACAATCTGTATGATCAGGTACATTTCAGACTATAGGCTCTTTCTTGATAATGTAACAAAGTTTCGATTCAATAGACATCACACACAATACAATTTTATATTAAATCTTTAAAAAGAAGACTGAATTGTAGTCAGCAAGAAATTATGTAGCAAGGAAATATCAGCACATAGATATGATTCATCTGGACATTTTTAGCAAATATACATGTGGTTACCAGAAATATTAGGAAGAAAACCCACATGACACATGTACAAGAAGGATTTTATTCCTTTATAATCCCATTCTTAGAGAAGTCAAACTTCAGTTATGAAGATTGAAGAAAACCCCAATCAGTGAATATTATCACAATTTTACTTTATAAAAATAAAATGAGCTTACTTCTTCCCCAAAATAAATCACGCGCTAATCACTCATAGAGATTAAAAACAAATGTTCCACTACATCAGAAAAACAACTAATCTAAATTTTTAAGCCCTTTAATTCATCCTGATTTTATTGTTCATAAGTGAACATGGTTGATCAGGGGAATGCATTCGAGACTAAAAAAAGCTTTTAAAGCACACCTCTAAAGTAGCCTTGTATACATCAAGTCTATTGTATGAGTGTAGAACATTTTATGCAATGTGCATTGTACACTTTCAAGAATTAATGGGCTCACCTAATTGCCTATAGACTCGGGATTAATTTGTACAACCCATCCAAGTCTTGTAAGCATTCTTGTCAAGTAATAAAAACTCTTTGTTCTACAACACTTTCAAAGTTCCAATCAATCCCTTAGAACATCTTATCTAGTTAGGCATCGAAAATCTTTGAATTGAAACGAAAAGCAAGTAAGCAGCATGTTTGACTAGCGACAACAAGGAATTCAGTTGAAATGCAACATGGGAAGTTAGTTTGTCAAATAGTACACCTAATAAAACATTAACTTCAAATTAATATCCAAGTTCAACAAAGATTATTTACAACAGAAAATTACTCCAATCGATTAAGAGATCATTGTGGAGAAAAACATAAAAATAAATAAATATATCAAGCCTCGTAATATCAGCATATCCTTAGTATATAATACAAATTGAAACAAGGCTAAAGAGAAGAGAGAATTACTGCGCAAGGATCAAGCTCAAAGAACTGTGAAGTATATGCTTTATGCTGACTCTCCCACTCCGCTTGAACTTGGCTTACTCCAGAGGTTTCCACATCTTCAAAATTCAAAATTGTTGGTTCAAATTAATGCACAATTAGTAGTAAAGAGAGAAAAAAATTGGCAATGCAAAAGAAATTAGATACCAATCCCAATGTAATGACCAATTAGAGCATCGTCAAATTTCTCCACATCTGGTACTTGGCCACAAAACAACTCACACACGGTAGCATAAGGGAAGAGGAAGATCTTGAATAGAGCAGTTTTAGCAAAGTCAAAGAGACGCTGGTGGGTGTGAGTGGTTTCCATTGTTGTCATCTTAGGTGTAACTGCTGCAAATCCCGCCATTCTGCTGTCCAATGTCACACACTCTAATTAAGCACCCGTTTCAAGGCTCTCCCATTACCCGTATAATCGAAGGTACTTGATACACGAATGGTCGTTATAAGCAACCGATTGTACCCTACAACGTCAAACCAAAGCAATTACTCGATAACTCGAACATACTAAATACAAGAATGATCATTACTATAAAATCATTGTACACTGCAAGAAACTCCCACAAATTAATGAACATATAATATACATTATACAAGTATGATTTTAACAGAAAAACAAATAGCAAAACCATTTCACCTTGATAAAATATACAAAAACACACATAAATTCATGAATATGTAAATCATAATGTAATGTGATTATCATTACATTTCATTTGATAAAATTGACATAAAACATCTTACAATCTTTACAAAAGTTATTTAAAGAATTGACTAAATAAGTGGTATTAATAATGTCTACTACAAACAATCCCTCAATTAAGCCTAAACAATCAACCATTCTTGAGGTACATATCATTCAATTAAAGAATTTCAATTTCAAATGAACTAAATAAAACCTAATAATGAATGTTAAAAACTGATTAGCAAGAAAAATTTCAAATAATTAATTGAGTTGGTATAATTAAAATGCTGAAAATCAGTCAAACTGAATCAAAAACCCTAAGAAAGATGGAAGTGAAGCGTTTACCTGGTAGCTGGGTGGTTGTCGACGGTTGTTTTCCGGCGCGACGGAGAAGTATTAACTATTAAGAGTGGAGAGGGTGCGACAGAATTTGAGAGGAAGACAGTTTTTTTTTTTTAGAACAATAGTTGAGACAGAACTCTTCGGTCATTTTTCCAAGTCACACCTTATTTTTTTTTTTTTTTTTTTTTTTTTTGAAAATTAGAGCCGAAATAAAGGTATTCGGATTATAAATTCAATCCAATCACAATCAAATTTGTAAGGTAAATCTTTCAAAAAAAAAAATTGTAATGTCAATTGGATTGAACATAATGGGGTTGTTTAGGATTTTTGATGTTGGCTGGCAGGGCCGTAGAAGAGGGAGTGCAAAGAGCCCCTTGCGTAGGGCCCCTAATTTTTAGAGGGCCCATTTTTCCCCTAATTTTTTTTATTTTTAAAAAAAAAAAAATAGATATATTAGCAAAAGTCTTGTTAAACGCCCTACGTTTAGCATATTAACATTTTACAATTCCAATGCTATTTTTCCTCTCTTAATTCAAGTTACAAAATTAAATTCTACAACTTTCTATATTCTTCCATCAATTTAAATTAGTATTAACATAATAATTACCTGAATACAATTTCATGAAAAATTGTATTGTCTCTATTTCTCTGTTTAAGAATTCTCAATGGAAAAAAAAAAATATTTTCAACCAAACTCAAACGATTCTTCTACCGTAATATTGGCAATGAGCAATTTTTTATTTTTTATTTTTTTATTTTCCAAGATTATTTTTATCGAAAGGTTATACTTCAATTCGTGTGTGTGTATATATATATATATATATATATATATATATATATATATATATATATATATATATATATATATATATATATATTATTTCTTTAATTTTTCTAGTTGTGATAATGTCAATTAATTTATTTAATTATTATGTCTAAATGTATTAGTTTTAAATTAATGGTGTAATTGTTGTCACTGAAGGTTGTATTGTGTTTTTTTTTTTGGGTACTTTTTTGTATTTGTGAAGATTGAAATCTTTTGAACCTAATCAAAATGACAAGAATTAAAAAAAAAAATGACAAGAATTAAAATAAGTACAATATAGGGAACTTTGGTTTTGGGTAATGGAATATATAATTGTTATACAAAAGCAATTTCATTTGTAATGTATATGAAAGTTGTGTATTGCCTATATTAAAAATAAAATTATTAAGGCTCCATTTTAATATTAGAACAGGGCTCCTAAAATCATTGCTACTGCCCTATTGGCTGGTTTGATAAGAGAACTATTAGTTGTATGGATTGACTTTTTAAGTTATTTGTTTAATCTAATTGTTTACAAATAAAAGTGTTTGGGCGTGATCGGCAAAAGTAGTTGTGTGAGTAGATGTTAGTTGTAGTAGTAGCTGTCAGCTATGCACCTAACTGTTAGATGTGAATGTTTTAATTTTTAATAGTAGTGTTCGGTAAACTAGCTGTTGATTTTCTAAATATTTTTAAATACTTCCTCCGTTTATATTTTATTGTACCATTAGGACTTTTACACTATTCACTTAATCTTCTTTGACTATCATTTGTGATTTATCCATTCGGAAAAATATAATCATGTGGGATCTAGTTAGATTCGTCTCGAAACCTTCTTTTCAAATATCAATTTTTTATAATTTTTACAAAAGTATAATTGAAGATATTAATAGCTAAAAAAATACATTGGCAAGCGTAAAATTCCTCATGGTGCAATAAAAAAAAGAACGGAGGAAGTAATAAATTTTTTTTTTCTGAAAGAATAAAAAATTATTATTTCATTATTGCATAAATTATAATTATATTATGAGCGATTTCCATGAATAATGTGAGAAAAGAACAAAATTCCATAAATACGCTACATTTTAATTAAATTCCCGACGTACCGTCCAAATCAGCTAGTGTAATTTTTTTTTTTTTTTTTTTTTTTTTTGCCAAATTAGAAACAAAACCGCTAATTGATTTAGCGGTTTCATGTAATGTAAAACCGCTAATTCAATTAGCGGTTTCAATTAGCGGTTTTATGTACAATAATATTGATTGGCTTGCTCGAGTAAGTGGGTGAAAAAATAAACCGCTAATTGAATTAGTGGTTTCAAGCTTTTAATTTTTTTTTTTAAAAAAAAAATAAATCAAGTTTACAAAAGATGACGTGGACAGTACACCGGAAATTTTATTAAAATGTAGCGTATTTATGGAGTTTTATTCTTTTTTAACATTATCTATGGAAAATCGCTCTAGTTTGGATTTTTCCAAATTTTGATAAGTATTAAAATAGTATTTCAAAATTGAAGGATAAAAAAACAAATTTGGATTTTATTTCCTAAAATTTTGGATAAAAATTCTACACTTAATTTTCGAAAAACAAAAAATCCCACAGTTATTCAGACGTTAAAAATTTTCACAAATATTTAATAACATCCGGTTTACACTAAATTAGTGTAAATCGGGTTGGGCATGTAACTTCATCAACTCTAAGCAATAGAGTCACCGCCGAAGTCAGCCGGACCACCGCCGAGAAAAATACCCACCGCCAAACCACCAACCCTGTCGCCATTAGCTTTTAAGGTAGTTGTTACCTTTTAGACCTAGTCAAAACACTACCTTAAAATAATATTAGTGTTTGGCAAAATAGTGTTTTAACTAGCTGTTAGAGGTAGAGGTAGCTGTTGTTGAACGCTTTAGAAATTTTAAAGTAGAGTTCAATCTTATTTTTCAATTTTATTTATTTATTTTATTTTAGTTTTTCTAATGAACATTCTACGTCCGTTAATTATTATGTGCAACTTTGGAATATTTTATATCTCATAAATAATACCCCAAAGTTACATAATAATATGGAGGTGTAGACACCCATTTGTGTCTCCCCAAAACCAAACTCAGTGATGAGTACCTTTCACGTCGAATCATAATCGAATGAAGCGAAAGTGTGGAAAGTTTAGTGTTGCGGATAGTTTTAATTTCTTTTCTCTTCTCTCTGTTTTTTAAAACTTATTTTAAGAAAACAGCCAATCCATTTTGGTTGGTCCATGATATGGGTCCAATAATAGTGTAGTTGGATGGGGCTTGGCAAGAGCTTTCCAACGATATATTATAAGCCCGATTCCGATGAATATTGAGGAAGTTATGGCCAATTTACTGAACTGGGCCCGGTTTGAGCCTTATATGCGGCCCAATGATCTAGGGGAGGGCCTAATATGATTTATCATTCCTAATGCAATCAGGAATGGTTTTAGTCTTCTAGATTCTTCTAGAAGGTTCTTTTCATTCCTAATTCAATTAGCATTGATAAATTGACTTTTGTTGACTTTTCAGATTTTTAATTAAAATCAAAGAACATTTTTGAGGAAAAGATACGATTTTATCCTCCTGTACGGCAAAATTTATCTGATTTTAGAAAAAGCGTCAAAAACAGGATTAGCGCCTAACGCCAGACATTGGCGCCTGGCGCTAATGTTGGCGCCTGACGCCAATAAGCCAGCGTCGGCGCCAGCTCTGTTTTCAGTGCGCTAATGCTCTGTTTTAATAATTTTATTTTTTTTGCTGATTTTCTCTATAAATAACGTCGTAAAAACTCCGTTTTCATTCACCTACAACCAGTTTTCATTCATCAATTTTCTCATTCTCTTTAATCATTCACCATCTCTCTCTCTCTCTCTCCCTTTTTCTAAACTTGCTTTTCAAATACAAAATTCCGCATACATTAGATCTAGAAACACCTAGTCATATTCGAAGTTGCCTTCGCCCTAGACGTGAAAGGTTTGATTTCTGAGGGTTTGGTCCCAAATCTCTCTTTCAATTATTTAATTTAATTGTTTGTTTATTATTTTCCTTGAAGTTACTAACGTGTGTATTTTGTTATTAGAAAGAGGTACGAGGCATCAAAGTAAGTACTTTAATGGTTTTTATTGATGTTATGATCATGTTTAAATTGTTATTATGATATTCCTAGTATCATGTCTAGGGTAACTTTAATATTAAATATGATTGTTATGATGCCTTTTATGTTCTTCCTAATATATATGATTGTTAGTATCATGTTAGGGTTAAAGATTTGATTTTTATTTCTTAGTGACATGCTGGGATTTGTTATTAATCTTGTTAGTATCATGCCTAGGATCTTGCTATTTTTATTATGCTTTAACGTGATTTATGATTATTTTTATAATTGTTTTGATTATGATTATAATTTTATTATTGCTATAATAATTATTATTATGATTAATATGATTATTATTATGATGATTATTATTATGATTATACTTTATAATTTATGATTATAATTGTTATGATTGTTATTATGATGATTATTTTTAATTATGATAGTTATAATTATTTTGAATATTATTATTATGTTGCTTGATATTTATTGTCATTGCTTGATCACGCCTTTTATTACATGTTTAAAGGGAATTTTATACTTGTAATCACGCTTAATAAGATATTAATAATAATCTTGTTTAGGGTTAATTTGATTATAATTTCAAGTGATCGCCAATAATGGTTTATTTGTGCATTAATATTCAACCAACATAGATAAACAGATTTAGGGTTAAACCTATTGATTGCATGTTAATTAAAAAGCGCAAATGAATACGATCAGAATAAAGTATAGGCCTATTATTAGGGCATGTTCAATCTCTTTTAGGTTGGATTTGTACCTTCATCCCCGAACCCTTATTTAGTTCAAGACCTTATGGAGTTGACGATCACTTGGATCGTTAAGGGGTGTAACCTTCACCCTGTAAATGGTTTACAAGTTCCTAAAACTTGTTGGCGACTCTTTTGCCCTATCTTCTTCCCTATTGGACGCCACCGTACTTTAGTGTATGATCACAGTGGGGTTCAAGCTAGGGATTAACGCTTGAAATTTATTCCCTACACCTAGCTCGCCACCCCCTCCTCCCTTCAGCCACGACAACCACCCTTTATTCCCAAATCTGACCATCGGGAGATCAACCATCCCAAATCCTAGCCCCGTAGCTAACCCGACCACCGCCTACGATCTCGTGAAGCAATTTCCGGCGGGGTGTGGCGGATTCAAGCTCCAATCAGTTCACGGGCAAGGGTTTCGGGGCGATTTGGGGCTGCTGGTGGTTTCGCAGGCAAGGGTTTCGGGGGTACGGCTGGTTGTGACGAGCAAGGGTTTCACGCGCAAGGGGGTGTTGGTGGTGCGATTTTGGTGTTTCGGAGGCGCGGTTGGTGGTGTGATTTAGGGGTTTCGGGGATGTTGGTGGTGCGATTTAGGGGATTCGGGGTTGTTGGTGGTGCGATTAAGGGGTTTCGGGGGTGTTGGTGGTGCGATTCAGGGGTTTCAGGGGTGTTGGTGCTGGAGGTGGTGCGGTTTAGGTGGTCGGCAGGAGGTGGAGGTGGTGGTTAGGGCTGGAGGTGGTGCGATTTAGGTGTTCGTCAGGAGGTGGAGGTGGTGGTTAAGGCTGGAGGTGGTGCGATTTAGGTGTTCGGCAAGAGGTGGAGGTGGTGGTTAGGGCTGGAGGTGGTGTTTGGGCGGCAGGTGGTAGAGATGGCTGCCAGATTTTATTTTATTTTTAGTTTTCTTTTTTTTTTTAATTTATTTTTTAATTTATTTTTTGGAACCACTCACACGCTGACACATGTCAAACAACCTACAATAATAGGTTGTTGACTTTTGTTGACCGGTTTGGGACTGCTGGAGGAAAACCGACCTAATAGTTGGGATTATTGTAGAATAAACGGTAGTTGGGATTATTGTAGGTAAATCGCCCATAGTTGGGATTATTAAAGTGTATTTTTCCAATTTATTATTGCTATAATGATTATTATTATGATTAATATGATTGTTATTATGATGATTATTGTTTTGATGATTATAATTATTATCATGATTATTATTACGTTGCTTGATATTCATTGTTATTGCTTGATCACGCCTTTTATGCATGTTTAAAGGGAATTTGTACTTGTAATCACGCTTAATAAGATAATTAATAATCTTGTTCAGAGTTAATGTGATTATAATTTCAAGTGATCACCAATAATAGATTTGTTTGTGCATTATATTCAACCAATATAGATAAACAGGTTTAGGGTTAAACCTATTGATTGCATGTTAGTAAAAAAGCGCACATGAATACGATCTGAATAAAGTAGAGGCCTATTATTAGGGCAGGTTCAATCTATTTTAGGTTGGATTTGTACCTTCATCCCCAAACCCTTATTTGGTTCAAGACCTTATGGAGTTGGCGATTTCTTGGATCATTAAGGGGTGTAACCTTCACCCTATGAACGGTTTACAAGTTCCTAAAACTTGTTGGCGACTCTTTTGCTCTATCTTCTTTCCCTTTGGACGTCACCGTACTTTAGTGTATGATCACAGTGGGGTTCAAGTTAGGGGTTTAACGCTTGAAATTTATTCCCCACAGGAGGTAGTATTTTTTTTTTTTAGTTTTTATCTTTTTTACTCTGTATTATTTGTTTCATTCAACCATAATATCAAGTTTTCTACTCCATATCCTTTTTTTTTTCTTTTTTTTTCCTTTCATTATGATCTGATGAGTATTTTTTTTTTCTATCTTATTTTTTAAATTGATTTCTTAATAGCATTATATATTATACTACATAATATGTATAATTATCAAACATATGATAAATAAAAATAAAAATAACGTCTTTTATAGTTTCAATCGCTACTTTTACCAAACACTCACATTATGAACCGCTACCTTCACAGCTGACCTCTAACAGCTACTACTTCACAACTCACAGCTACCCCTAAAACTAACAACTACTTAAAAAAGCTAATAGCCAACAAATACAACTAGTTTTGCCGAACAGATCCTAAAACTATTAGCTTTTAGCATTTGGTTGAATAGTCAGCTTAAAAGCCAATAACCAAACATACTCGTATTTTTTTGGTTGCTTGACGAAAATAAAAAGTCAAAAGTTAGGCAAAAAAACTATTTGTCAAACACCCCCAAATTTTTTAAAATTTGGGTATCTTAAAGAGTTTAAATTGAAAGTGTTTTGATGTTTATATTAAAAAAATAATAATAATAAATAAATAAATCCAAACTTAATCCCTTTTACATAAAGGGGCTACTACTGAGTTTAATTTTTAATTTTTTATTTTCATCATCAAAATAAACAATGATTAAACTATTGAGTCCATACACATTTATTTAGTAACAACCTATTAACAATAAAGAATGAGAGGAAATATGTTTGTTTTTTTTTTTTTGGTGCTCAGAATGAGAGGAAATATGTAAATAATATGAAAATTAATGAATTTTTAGTAGTCTCAGATTGCAATACAATAGAAGAAGACATCACTAACTTGCGGGAGAACTTCAATCTGTTGATCATTCAATTCTATAGCTTCCAAAACACCTACTTTCTAATTAAACCACTAAATTTACACTTGTATATAGTGTTCTTGACATAAATCAGTAACCAATCTATAAGACCAAGATAACAAAAAAATGTTTCACTAAATTTCGGACAATTTTGGTAAAATTTGTAGTTAAAATTTGTTTATTTTCAATTTTAAAACTAATTTTTAAACTTTAAGTTATATCAATTTATCTTCAAATTTAATCAATGTGTCCGCTGTCGTACGTGTATTGGTGTATCATTTCTTCTGCTCTTGATGCCTTGGCTTGACCCAAAAACTTACTAACCTAGCTACATTCATGCCTCTACGTTTAGAGTCCAAGAAGCACGTAGTACAATATTGTAATTGGTAACGCAATCAACATTCCGAAAATAACCCTGCACATACAAATTTGAGTTATAAGCTTAGATGTATTGTAGTCAATAAAAATTAAGTGAAAAGAACACACAAACAGAAGGAAATTATATACTTCATATAAATCAACTAATTTACCCTGTGCTTAAAATATCGGGATGGACATTATACTCCTTTGCAAATACAAAAGGCACGATTCCTTGAGGTAGAGCAGCCTGCCAACAAAAACCATCCATCAATTAGTTAAAAAAACAATCTTGAATTTTCATAGTCAGGTTTGTGTCTCTGCCGCGGAGAGAGCGACAAATGACAAAAATGATGTACGTGAAATTTAATCATAACTATTAGATGTGACCCCCTGTTATTCTTTGACAAATTAATAAATAAAAGATCAGTTTACGAATACTTGTTCAATCCCCTTCCTCTTAAAACCCTATTGTTATTAAAACACATTGTTAATTGTGACCAACACCTATCCCATAGGACTATATATAGGAGTATTGGATATTTAGATTAGTTCAACTAAGTTTCTTTGTCTCATTAAAAATCTTGAGGGTTTCAATTCCAAAAGATATGGAGTACATTAAAAAGAAACCGAATGAGTACCTCTACGTATTACTTGGTATTTGAACTCAAAATAGTATGAGACTAAGAAAAAGACGAAGATCTACCTGAACAATGGCAATATGTAAAAGAACACCACGAAGACCAATGGCGATAGAAGTTGCGGCAATAACAGCAGGACCAGTCAAAAATCTAACTGCCATTGCAAATGTAGCCACTCGTTTTCCACATGCTATTAACCTTGGTTGCAAGGCCATGAACAACCCTGTTTATTCACAATATTCATAAAACATTGGAAAAAATGTTAGAGAAATTTCATAAATCTATACTCTCGAGTGTCGACCTTATTATTAAGATTGTTGGATACATTATCAATGGTCCGACATACCTAGTTAACAAAAATGACTATTATATAAGTCAAGTCTTAAAAAGCTTGGCTATTTGACCATCTAATCGTTTACCTAAAATCTTTTACTCCAATTCTTCTGTGTTAATTGTTTGTCAATGTTAATATAATACAAGTAAGAGTACATTTTTTGTGTGCATGTGTATCTGATCCATGAATATTTTTGTGAGCGGGAGGCATTTCTCGAGTCTAGTTGTCCACATACTCTGTATCAATTATCTACTAGAGAATGTTTCATATAATTAGACCTTAGGCCCCATCTAAGTGTGGATGAACCTACATACGGTTAATGAACGGTAACATACTCAGAATTTGAAAATTATAAAAGTGTATGCAAGTAAAAATAATGGTACCTAGACTGAACATGGCCATTCCTAAGCCTGCATCCGACAAAATTGATATCGATCCTTTCACAATTGTGGGCATTTCGATGTTCCACCTGTTAGTTGGTTTTGATTTATGTTAGTCAGCAATAATTGACAACAAAATTGCACTCAATTTAATAGAGGATAAAAAATATGGTTGACATTTAAAATGCTTCCAATACTAGCAAACTATTTTGCTACGGCAATAGTGTCCATTAACTCCATATCTTGCTGTGAACTTATTTTTGCACCAAAAAAAGCTAGGGATTCTTGGCATTTAATTTTTAGATTGTTTATTCAAGATGGAATGTACTCGGTACGCATGTCAGAAACTACTTACATAATATTATTAAAAGTAAAATTTGAATTTTACTTTCAAAGATATGTGTATCATCCCTCGATAAAAAATACTAGTAAAAGAAACTAAAAATTCACATATATGACAACCAAATTCGGTAACCAAGTAAATTAAACAAATTACTTTATGTCTTTATAGTTTATACCCTTATGTAACCTAACTTCAACCCCGAAAAGACAAAACCCATTTTTATAAATAATAGACAAGCTAAGGACTTTCTTTTCAACTAAAATAGACTGAAGTCAAACACAACCTGCCAAGTTATCATTAAGTCATGTAATGTAAATAATACTATCATACTTCATAATAAAACTATACTCGTACTTTCTCTGTTCTTTTTTACTTAACCTGTTTTTTTTTATCACACTTGTCAATGCAAAACTTTAACGATCAATAAATTAAATTCTTTATAAGTAAAAATTATAAAAAGTTATATATTATGATAGTACTTATTGAGACGAATCCAAAAAAATCATACATGAATATATCTTTCCTTACATATTATTCACAAAAGACGGTCAAAGGAGGGGTGATAAATAGTGTAAAAGTCAAAACGGTTCAAGTAATAAAGAACGGAGGAAGTATAATACTAAAGTACTGCGTATAAGAGAGGAAGTGCAAACCTGTATGATATAAGAGACCAAGCTAAGCCTAAAAGACTAGAATAAGTGTTGGGGTTACGAATAAGTTTCCTCCAAACCATGATAAGTATGAGTCTAGTCATGACACTAGCAGGGGGCATTTGATGCTTCCTCTCCAGTACATTCCCTTCTTCCATGTCATCCACCACCTTCTTCTGGTACGGCGATCCCGTCGTCGGGAATTTGAATTCGTCGTCCCCTTCCACCTTGTCGCCATTCTCTTTTCCAGTTGGGCTCAAGTTCTCTTGAAAATTGTTCATGCCAGCTGATTGTTTGACAACAAGCAACACAAATATATATAACTTTTATTAGTCATCTTATACATAGTTGTGTAACCAATTTAAATCGACCATTTTTTGAATAATGTATACGTACAACCAAATAAAATCGACCTTTTTTTGGAGACTGAAGTTAGATTCAATATACAAGTATTCTTACTACCACAAAATTGAAGCCTCTAACTTAATAACTTCTAGTCTTATATCGCAACTATTTTTTAATTTTAAATAAAACTTCGTAATTTTCACACAACTAATTTTATTTTTTTACAAATATAGTAAGTGACAACATTAATTTGAGACGAGGGAAATATATTTTAATGATCTATCAGTTTATAAATTTAGACTAGGATCAACTTATATATCCTTAATTGGAATGCTAGCACTTTCATCACTATGTTTAACCAATCTAGTACTTCTAGCAAGCTTAACCTAAATAATCAAATACTTTTGTTAATCACAAAAGATACAATATATTGACCTGAAAATTTGGGATCTTTTCCTAAGTCTTTAGTTTACTAATTAATTTGTAGTACTTAATATTACCAAAATAACATTGCATTTTTCAATCAATACATATTTATCATAAAAAACTATCTTTTTTTATATCAAATTAACTAAATTAATGTAGTACTACCTCTAGCAGCAGCAATCTCTTGTTGAAGAACAGCCTTAGAAGAATCCAAAATCCCAAGATCATTAGTCCCACCTCTAACATTATTATTCATAACATTACTATTCTTCATATGCTCCGAAACAGGTGACTGATTAGAGCTCCAAACAAACATATGCAAGTCCTTATTAGGCGGCGTAGGCGGGTTACCACCACCATCCTTCCTCCTACCCCCACCCGAGCTTGTCGGTCCCGCGATCATTGGGTTAGGAGGCGGGTAAGGCGGTAGCGAGCCTCCGCCATTATACAACTCCCCACTCATACTCCTCCCCATCCTCCTCTTCCCACCAACACCACCACCTTGTTGTTGTAGTTGTAATTGTTGTTGTTTATAAATCATTTCTTCATCAAAGTTTGATGTTCTTGGGGTAGGTCCCTTGGAAGATTGTAAGGAGAATACGTCCCCGCCCCCACTGCCTTGGGGGTACCCTGCACCCGGGTGTCTAGGACTCGCAGCCTTGCTAGCGAACATGGCGTAGAAATCGGTTTGATTAAAGCTTGAGGCTCTAGGGGTTGGCTCCCTAGAGGACTGTATGCTGTAGATTTCTACGCCGGTGAGGTTTGATGCTCGCGGCGTCATCGAGGTTAATGAATGGAGGTGTGATTTGTGATTAGAACCTGATACCATACTTGAAGCTGTTGATCTTCTTACTACTACGTGTAGTTTACCATCATCTCCTATTTCTGCATCTGCCTGTATTCATTAACTTATCTATATTATCGTCATTTTTACATCTTACTACGTCCGTTAATTTTTATTTGCAACAAAAATGAACTATCTGTGAGACATAAAAAATTCCTTTATTGCAATTAAAATTTAACGGAGTTATTATATTATTACCTAAAAAAAAAAAAAAAATTGTGTAGTTTAACAAAGAAAAATAATAATGTTGCATTGAAAAATGTAGGAAATCTTGCCTGTATAGGCTCCCTGCCGTTAAGGGAGACGACATCGGATTCGACACGGAAAGAAGTGATGGAAGCAGCGGTTTCCGGGAACTGCTCGGAGATGAGCAACTTAGCTCCTCTATATTCGAACAAAAACAACATAAGGGTGTACCAAATGATACTTTGTAGCACCACAATTTGGACCATAAGGCCACCACTAAAGTCTCCATACATAGCCTTTAAAAGGGGGATCCCCATCACAAGGGTGTTAGGCAACGTTGAAAGCGAAAATAGGGTGATCATCCACTCTAGATTTCCTTTCTTGGTGATCATAAGCCATAAGCTCAGAGCGGTGAGGATGACCACCTTTTGTAGGCAATCCGCGGCTATGAAATGGTAGTTCATCTTGTAGATGTCGTTGGTGGAGATGAAGTGGAAGGAAAGCAATGGCACGGCGAACACTGCTACAAAACGGTTAATCCCTGAGCATTGGTCCGGGGTGAAGATCTTCCACCACCGGACCGAGCCATAGGCTAAAATCATCGCCACGTAAAGTGGGGTGATTGCGGAAAACACATCGTATATGTCTTTTCCTGTAATCATTTTTACTCGTTACAAAGTGGTATCAGAGCCAAGCTCAGATTTATCCTCACAGACCCCAAAATCAAAACAAAACTACCCAAGTATAACCTAGAGGCGACAAAGACGTACGTAACGAGTAACGAGTAACGAGAAACGAGTATATGTGTAGTAATTATGAAGCAATCAAAGGTGAAGATTATGGAAACTTTTCTCTAAGTTGTCTCATGATGGAGCTAGGATATGGTAGCTAAAAGGAAGAGTGTGAAATGCAAATGGTTGAACTTTGGATAGTACTTTAATTGAAATAGTTTAATAGGTAATCTTTGGTGTAATAGCTGTAAACTTGTACTAGTAGCAGATGCTCAGAAAAGAAGTGGAAAGAATCGGGTGTGGCGGGATGGTGTTTTCAACGCAAACCGTCATAATAATTAAGAAGGGGTAATAGTAAAAAAAAAGTTAGAGACGTCAATTAATCATTAATTATTTACTCCTCCACTTCGTATTTTTATTTTTATTTAATAATCTTTTATCAAAATGGGTAGTTTTACATTATCAAAACGGTTAATTTTAAATATTAATTTTAAAACTAGCTAAAGGCTTGTTTGACATTATTTTTTGTTTTCATTTTCCTGTTTTTTTTTTTAAAACTAAAAACCAAAAACAGGAAACAAGAAAAAGGTGTTTCCACTTTTCTGTTGTCAGTTTTCAAAATCATCATGATTTTAATAAGTCTAAATATTTTTTGATTCATTATGTGACATATATAATATACTTTTAAAAAACCAAAAACCAAAACCACAGTGATGCCAAACAAACCCTAAATTATTGACTTTGAAAGAAATTATTTATTTCTTATATTCCTTTGAACCGGTTTGGTTCATTTTATGTTTTTTTTTTTTAAAAAAAAATATTGTTTTATTTAATTTTTTTTTTTTTGATTTTTTGTTTTGTTTTGTTTTTTTTTTTTTTTTTTTTTTGATTTTAGAAATTCTACTGCCATAGTTTAAAATTCCCATTAATTTGACAAACAACATTTAACATAATATATTTGCAATAATTCTCAATTTTTTTTTTAAATGTTGCACAAATTTAAAAAAAAAATCAATTAAAAAAAGTGTTCTAAACTTCCAATTAACAAATTTTTTTTAAAAATAAAAATACAACTCTTTTATTAACGAATAAATAAAGACAGAAATATATTAAGGAATAAAGCCCCAAAGTTTCTATTGCACTTACAAGGGGATAGGAAGATAAAAGCACGTACTTGAAATTCCAGAATTTTGTGATACACTATAGACGAAAAATTAGTTTTTTTTTTTTTTTTTGACAATATTTTTTTGTTGTTGTTGTGATCGAAATTAAGGTTTCTGCGACTATTTACATACTCCGTATACAGTGGCGGATCCAGGATTTTCGAACTTATGAGTCACCATCAATAATTAATCACTTGTTTTAATCCAAAAATTATATTTCACCAAAATGATTTCAATCCAAAAATAGGATATAAAAATACATACTATAAAACTATTATATTAAACTAACTTTATGATTTTTTACTTAAAAACAAGAATTATTAAAAAAAAAAGTTAGATAAGTTAAGAGACCGGTTATTAAATATAACAGATCTCTTTAATGAAATATGAAAGCAGCGCAAAAAGTTATTCTAATTAAATGGATGTCAAAAAGAGACCTGTTATCTAGAAAACAGGTTTCTAATGACGTGGTTGCAATAACAGTAACAAAGAGACCACCTATATGATATTTTAATATGCTGTCTCTTTGATGTTAAAAAAACTGGCAGTGGGGAATAGAAGCACCAAAGAGACCACCTATATGATATTTTAATAGGCGGTCTCTTAGTTTTTTTTGTTGTGCACATTAATAGATCCGCCTACATGGTCAAATTTTCTAACTTAAAAAATCCTAAAATAAAAAATAAATATAAAAGAAAAAAAAAAATCAATTAAGTGAACCAAACTGGTTCAAAGAAAAAAAAAAAGAGAGAGAAATGGATAATAACCTTACAAAAATTAAGCTAGTTTTGGAATTAAATTTCATACGTAACCATTTTGGTAAATACTTTTGTCAAATTAGCCATTTTGGTAAAAGATCCTTTATTTAAGTGCTCTATTTTATCAATATATTTATCAACATGAAAATTTAACTAATAATATTGTTAATTATCAATAAAAATAGTGCAAAAGTCAGAGTGAGATACTTTAGAAATATTTTTTATTTATATGAGTTTAATAATCCTTTTTCATATGGTATTATAAGTATATTGTGGTAAAGAATCGCAAATAAAACAATAATATCTTAATTTATTTTTCTTAATGTGGTCTAAAATAAGATGAATTTAAACATAGCCTATACAACTACAAGACATAATTAATATTAAAAAAAAAAAAATTACCAAAAGAATATACCGTAATGTTTAGTGATCTAGTTGTATCTTAATATGGGTTGAAAATATACAATGTATATATTTCTAGATTATCTCACTTTGACTTACAGAACTACTTGAAGCAACCAATGGTTATAATCCCAAAAAATATAATGCTGATTTGATTATATGTAATATACTCCGTACTTCTCTTAATAGAGTGACACATCTGCTAATTAATATTTCAATTAATTTATGGCAGGATCAGATTCTATTGTGTGATGTATATCTATAAAAAGATTGCTTGGTCTAGTAAATCTACGGTTAAAATTAAATTACTTACATTACATATGATATAATTAGGGTAATGTAAATAAATCCGTAGAGATTAAACATAATTAGATTAATTGGTTCAGGTTCTAAATGAGAGACTCAGTATCCAAAGCAAAGACCTAGCTAGCTAGTGATATACTCCGTACTGCGTAGTAGCTTAAACTGAAAAAGATTTGGTTGGATGAAAAAAAATTGTTGTCTATTTTGTTTTAAAATGTGTTATTAAAATTACTAGTTGCTGAATGATATAATTACTAGATTTTTTTGAGGGAAATGTAATTACTAGATTCTTTTTTTTTTTTTTTTAAAAAAATAAAAAACAATGTAACCACTAGATTCTAACAATGAATAACAATCACTTTCTTAAGCATTTTTTTTTTACAATTAAGTACACCAATGTAGTACGAATAATCAAGAGTTTTTATTAAATCAAACTGATGTGACCTCCTAAATTTAAAGCAATAACTAAAGCAATTTCCCGCATTTAAGAGAAATTTAAAGCAATAATTAAAGCAAACCAAATTCCTTTTCAATCATATTGGTTCAAAATTTACATAAAATGAGTATTGAATGATTAAAGACGCAAATTATGTACTCCCTACGTCCCCAAAACTTTGATCATTTTGGGTTGATTTCGCGGTTATTAAGAAACTTAAATAAAAAAAAAATATATTGGAAAGATAAATTTACATGGAGTTTGTAAAAAAGTAAAAAGATAAAGTATTAAAAATATTAGAAAAAAACAAAATTTTATATGAGAAATCTAATTTTGCACAAATATTGTTGTAAATTGATGGGTATTTTAATGCAAATAGGTCGATTATTTTGTGACTAAAATTAAGCCAAAAGGATCGAAGTTTTGGAGACCGAGGAAGTAACAACATAAATGATTACAATATGTAACTATGTAAGCAATAACAATGGCTCAAAATCTCAGTTAAGTTTCAGATCATACATCAAAATTCTTCATACGTGCAAATGATAAATAGCATAAGATATTTATCATTTATAACGTGTACTCTGCAATTGTTTTTGATCTTATTTTGCTAGTTGTAAGATTTGCATGCATGTAACAATATTTTTATAAAGTACCATGATTGAAAACGTAAATATTGATAGAGTATGAAACATATTCCTGGGCCTCAACCATCAGTTTAAGTTTTTGGTTTAGATGGTCCACTAACATGGTATCAGAGCCAGCGTGACACATATACGATTACATTATAAACAAGATACACTACGAAACATGATAAGCAATGCTTACATATATGATGCACTCAATTGCATAAACCAATTTAATGTGCACTAAAGCCGTGTGACCAATGAACGTTATTATATGGGAAACACAATGACATAACTTGATCAGCTACCATGTAAAAGTTTGCATATGAACAAGATCTTATTTTTCATACTTCATATGTATAACATAGACAAGATACTAAGCTGGAGTGCTCGGATCGGCTTCTCTCAAGATCGTGAACTAATAAAGATAAAACACGAGAACAAGATAACCTTTGAAAACACTGTTGATACTACCAATATTTTATCTTGGTGCCTCGCTCTGCGGCACTGCAAGCGTAGCGGCACATGAACTCCCCAAAAAATCCATTAATTGGCGGTGGGATCCATTACTTATTATTTAACTTCTTAATGTTTGTAAAATGCTTGGAAATTAGCAAAAATTAAAAGTCAGATCTAAGAAATCAATATTAATTTTCTAATTGTTCTGGTCAATTTTTTTTTTTATTTTAATTAAATAAAACAAATTGAAAATAAAAAAATAAAAAAAATAGGGGAATCTGTCTTAACTTGTTGGGACAATAATATCTGTGGTTGCAGGAGCATGCATCTTAATTCAGAACTATTAGATAGACAAAGCAAATTTGTTATTGTTTAAGCAAATGACAAAACAAATTATCAAGTAAATCCAAATATATTTAGATTGTTTTAATCCTGATTGTTGGACAATATTTTCTTTAAATTATTTATTTCACACGTAATGTAACGAGTTCAAGGTTAGGAGTGGCCAATAGTAATAGAACCAAAAAAAAAAAAAAATTAAAAATTTTTAGCATAAAGTAAAAATAATCAAATTTAGAGAAATAGCAACTAGCTACTACTCCCTCCGTTTCAATTTGTTAGTCTCATATACTATTTTGGGCGTTTCAAAAAGATCTACTCATATTGAATGTATTCTACTTTTAACTTAGTTTTTATTTCCTATTTAATACATAATAAATTCTGATTGCTTACATTAATTGATTGTGAATTAATGAAATGACTCTAAGTAAAGAAATTACTCCCATGATTTATGCAATTATGGCTAATGCTTTCCTAAAATATTCAAAAAATATTAAATAAGGCAAAACTATTTGTGAATTGTTCTTTACTTTAATGCTAGATTCCAAATATTCCCCTTTTCTTATTTTATATGATTGATTCCATATGAGACTATCATATTGAAACGGAGGGAGTAGTATAATACATTCTTATAAAATAAATATTGAGCTAAATTTAAATACAGATATGGTGCATATCAGTACACAGATATATATATAACCAAGAGCATGCATAAATGCATAATGGTGCATCATTCCATGAAATAAATTGTACTCAATTTTACTTTTTTTTTTTTTTTTTTTAATACTATGGACCTTTTCTCTTCAGTTCAGCTTTAATCAATTCAGTTCAGTTCAATTCAATTCATAATTTCTTTCTCTCATAAATAATTCATTTCAATTCAGTTCAGTTATATTCTAGTTAAGTTCAGCTCAAATCAGTTCAGTTCAATTCAATTCAACTCAGCTCAATAAATTAGAACAAACCCTATATTACATAATTTACATTGTTACCCCAATCCACATTATAAAACCATTTTTCTTATTACATATTCTATCCCTCACGTCATAATACAATATTATAATCACATATTCGTACTGACTTTCATTATTATATATATTTCCACGGTATTGTAAGATAAATGGGAAGAAGCTCAGCATTAAACAAAATGAGTAATTAAGTAAAGCAAAAATAAGTTAAGATTAGCTTAAAATAAGGAAGGATACTAATGCGCAAGGGATATACAAGTATTGGCTTAGTAGCATCCTTTAATCTCATCCAACAAGTATCAAACTTAAACGAAATTAAATGATCTAACCAATGACATGATACAATTTAATTTCCATAGTTTATCAATGTTAATATATACGAGTAATATTTTCTCAATTTCTTTTTACTTGCCTCATATTTTTTAGGCAACAATTTTAGAAGATAATTAGTGAAAATAAATGAATTATTTTAACAAAATAATTTTAATACTACCTCCGTTACAAGTTATGTGCAACGATTAGACATTTTTCCTCTCTGCTTTATGTCAAATCGTTGCACATAACCTGTAACGGAGGTAGTATAAGGATTGAAGCAGGGTTAGGTATCATATGTAGTTTATAATTTCGATCTCAAAACTGTGTTGTAAGTAAATAAAAAACAGAGGAAATATTAAGATATAGAGAGTATTATATTGACATAACCATGGAAAACTCTCTCATAATTGTTGCGTACCGTCCTGTTGTGTACACAGACAACAGCAGCATCAGAGAAGTGAATAGTAGCCAATTATCATTATTTTATTATTATTAATTTTAATGGAGCAATCCGTTACTGGCAATGAATAAATCACATGCTTGTCTAAATATTTTATATAGGACCAAGATTCCTCAATCTCAATTGTAATTACATTTTCAAATTCAAAATTGAGAATCCTATCTTATATTCGGGTATAAGTTTACACCGTTTGAATTAATTATTATTATTTGTACGTGTGTTAATGTAAACAGTATGTGTTAATAAAATCATAAAGGAACACGTGAGAGAGTGTAATTATACAACCGAGTATTAGATGAACATCTTAAACAATGTGGTTCAAGAACCATACATTGATGATTGGTAAGAAGCTACAAGCAGTTTTCTTGTTCTGAAGTTGCCCATTCCCATCTATATCTTGTTCAGAGGGAGCATGGGGTATGTTGTAGATTAAAAATAAGCCTAAAAATAAATAAAAACTAATTGAGTTCAATCTTCAATTCTTCAATAGCTAGCAAAACTCTACCACTTTACTCAAAGTCTCATTCATTTGACAAAATGCTTTGACTTGTGTAAGATACCAAAGTCTGACATTGTGGATATTATATATGTTACTCAGTACCTAGATGGCTAGATCATTGTCTTGCCAAACACTCCTAAACTTTTCAAATAGTTACCTGAAACGTTAACTTTGAACAAGGATGTACCATGTACGGTGGATTTTGCAAGCCATGTCTAGAACCTAGAGTAACAACCATTTTGAGTTGCATACGACCAAGTAGTATGGTCTTATGGTAAGGTCAATCCCCACTATGGACAATCCTTCACCCGTACTTGAAGCCTGTCCAATAATCCAAAATCGAGTTAACCTTTGAGAGGATTTAGTCCAATAAAGTGTACTTTCCTCAAAAAATTGAGTTGCCTACATCAAGGGCTGAACCGAGTTAACCTATGAGAGGTTTTAGTCCGATAGAGTGCACTTTCCTCAAAATATATCGTCCTAATTTCTCCTAATATTATCATGGTATCGTTTAGAGTGGAGCTTGTTTAATAGAAGGGCCAAAGGAGGCAATCTGGGCCGTTGGAGTACACTTGCAGTAGCCACAATTTTGCGTACAGTTTTATTGCATACTTTACGGGCCTGGAGAATTTCTTGTGAAACTAATTGAATTTTACATATAAAATATGTCCTTCTAAATGTATATTCCTTGTGTTTGTTCCATTCTTAACTAGAATTTTCGAAATCGAGAATGCCATAAAAATGGAAGATGGATGGTTTATATTCTGAATACCGGAGGGGTATGACTTCAAACCTAGAAAATGCAAATCACAGACTACTCTTGTTGAAATGCATTGGGTGCAATATTCCTGGCCTTAGCTTGTACATGGCGTTCAATATCAAGAAGATAACCACTGCAGTTTGTTTCACGAAGGCTCTAACATATACTTATTTCATGATACTTGCAAGCAAGCTTTTTAGCTCGAGTACTGAGAATGAAATTTGTGCGGAGAAATGAACATGTTAATAAAATAACTTGTGATAAATGAAGTATGCATGAAAAACCCTCAATCATGAATGGAATATAAAATGCAAATATGCAATACAAAACATAGTGATAAATGCTGCATTAACTAGATTATTCACAGAAGAGGTTAACGCAAGAATACAGCAGAACAAATAGGATTACCATACAAAAGGTGCTCCCCAAAGACCTGTGATAGCATCACATTTCCTGCAGGAAGATTTCAGATATGAGATATAATAACAACCAGGCGGGAAAAAGTTCAAAAACAGGGTTACAGACAGTTGACAGCAATGAAAACAAAAGCAAGATCGATATCAAGTTATATCTTTCCTAGAAAATAATATGAATGAGCAACAAACATTCCTACCAGAATTAAGACCAGATGTAAGATTTAACACAGTAATGCAGACAACCACTGCGTAAACCACCAGCTTGGTAAAGCGCTATTACACAAACAGCATCACCCTTGCCCTCTTATCCTTGACAAATACGGAGTACTAACAAAACAACTAAACCTGATGGATTACCAGAGAAGATACTGATGTTTATGTAGATGGTCATTCAACATATTGATAACAATGTCCACCAATTGGACACAGAGATAATAACTAGGATCAAACTCTGTCAAACCATTTATGTACATATGGAACAAAATAATATAGTGATCAATTAGCTGAAAAGCCATTTTACTAGTCCCAGTAGTATATTTCTTTAAAACTCTAGCAACGGAAGAATAGAGAACATGTCAATTACTGGTATCATAACTTAAGATGACCGAAAAATTAAAATTTATGGTTTATACTCTTCTTCACAACAAATTTTCTCAATATATCTCTGAAAGATAATGTCTTCAGCAATACTAGGTCATCAGTTCATTGAATCTTTGATTAATAAAGAGCCTTCTACTAAGGTATTAAAATGATGCAAACGTTCTAAAGCTTCATAGGCATTGGTTCAGTACTGATATCTTTGTCCACCTAGCAAGATGAAAGAACATGTACAGAGTTCAGAGATATCAGCTCTATCATATGCTTGTCAGAGGTAAGTTTTCCGCAACAAAGGCAAAGAAAAAACAAGAAACATTGATTTGAAAGAAAATCTTTCATCCATCCAATGATAACAGAAATCCAAAACAGAGAATCAGTTCTTCTAATTAGCTGAAGCCTAAAGGAAATAATTTATAGGGCACGTGCGAAGGGATCAAAATAAAGAAAAGCATTCAACCAAAGTACAGTTTAGATAAAGAGCAACAAGAGGTAAGATATATGAGAAAAACTATGCCGCATGTAGACCATTAAAAGAAGTAAATGAGAAGAAATAGCCTACTGATTAATTGATTATCACACTTTACATCATTATATATCATTCCCAAGAAGTCTCCTACACTAGCATTTGTTTCCAAGGCATAGAATTCCCATGAGAAGCTCAAGGTCATCCAAAACTTCATTTATCTACATGCCTATTATAAAAAAGCTAAAAGCCTAAAACTTGCAGCAAAGAACTTCACATGCAAACCCATATATGCTGTATAGAAGATTAGTGGTAGTGTGGCATTTCCATGTTCAATAAGACAACAAAGCTAACACTGCAATTAACAAAGTCCTCGACTGTGACCAGAAGTCTACCAGCCACTTTACCAGGCTTTTGAGAAATCCAAATGTAATGAGATAAAGGAAGAATATGTTTTATGATACAAATGGGGAGCATTTACAACAAAGAAAGTAAATAACTAAATATGATTAGCCTAATGGTGAATGCAGGAAACACAAAAGCAAATTTCCAAGGACAGTCCAGCTTTTGAAGAAAATTGCTCAGAGTACACTGTATATTCCCAGGGCCAATCGATGCTGACCTATGTTATTTGGACTCGGAAACTCAACTCAGATGTGAATATGTGCACCGTCAAACTCAGCTACTTATAACATTCCCCATGCTTCTGATCCAGAGTCCCAGAAAAGTGTCAATACCAACGTTGGAGTGTCAAGGATCCTGCTTGAGTACTTGAGGTAAATAAAGAGCCCCTAACAAAGATGGTGAATTTAAAACCAACTAGATGTTTGGAACTTCAATGACACTTTGCTAAAAAAATCTAGGTCAAGGGGTAAGGAAGGGGAAGAAAAAAAGAGGGGAAAGAAAGGGAGAGGGAAGGTGGAGCTCCAGTTTCCCTCTAAATTTCTTCAATTTTGGAGGGATGGTATCTAGAGGATAAGTAGAGAATGCATTGCTCCCTCTCCCTCCCTTCCCCCAACCTCTTGTCAAGAAAAGAAAACTTGTTCCTTTCCTTTCCCTCACTTGCTCTCCATTTTCTCTTATCCAAACAAAGTGTCAATGACTACAGGCTAAAAGGCAGCACAACTTTTTTCTTCGATTCTCTATCTCACAATACACATACAAGCATAGCTTGAATACAAAAAGAAACAATAGTCAGGAAGCTTGGAAGTAAAAACTATTCAATTGAGGAAAAAGGAAAAGACAAGATGAAATCAAGACTTTTAAAGGCATAACTTGAATTGAGTAAGCATCCCATTGCATACAAAACACAAAGTACTAAAGAATTCCATTTGTACCAAAAAAAAAAAAAAACAGGCAAATTTAAATCTGTGGATAGTGGAATACACAAGAAACAATTACAACCTTGACATTGTAAAATCTCAAGCAACTCCACAACATCACTACATACAGGATGCGGATTATTCGCTACCACAGCACGAAAAAAAAACCTTAAAACCAACACCACATCACCCCTCTCCAAAACAAGATGCCAACAATTAAAGTTCTTAAGTGGAGATAAAGGTAATACTCCGTATTTCATTTCATTTGATACACTTATCCATTTCTATGTACAGAAAACACAGCAAGTAGAGTACTAAATCTAGAATTTGACCTCTAAACAGGAGGAATGTTAGAGAAAGAAAAACCCTTGTAGCCCTTGTACGCGTAGTAAGCAATCCTTGTGTAATAGAAACCCGGTAAGAACAAGATCGCCCCTAATATTGCAAAGAATAGCCCTGTTTCAATTCAACACATACAATTTAAAAATAAAAAAAAAAAAAACCACAATTTGAGATGTGCAAACAATGAAACAACACAACGAAAGACGCATTCAACAAAAATGAATGAATTAAAATACAATTAGGGTTAATAAAGTAAAACTAATTTATGACTGAATCAAGCAACAAGTTAAGATACCCACAAAAATTCAAAAAAAAAAAAAAAAAAAAATTCCCAATTGAAAGAGGCATTCACCGAATTAAACGAATTAGGGATATAATTAAGGCTCAAAAAAATTAAACTAATTTCAGACTGAATCAAGCAAGAAGTGAAAATACCCCCAGAAATTCAAAAAGAATCCCAATTGAAAGACGCATTCAACGAAATAAACGAATTAAGGATACAATTAGGGTTCTAAAAATTAAACTAATTTCAGACTGAATCAAGCAACAACTGAATACACCCACAAAAATTCAAACAAATCCCAATTGAATTAGGGTTGAGGTAAATACCATGAGCTCGATCACCACCGATATGATTAACAGCCATGAAAATCCCAAGAACGATGCCGACAACACCGAAAACGAGTAGAGAGACTGCGAGAGCGATCTCTTTAATAGGGGGTTTATTGTTGATTGCATAAGAGTTATCCATCATAATATCTTCATCGGTAATGGAGAAAGCATGATCAACATACGCCATTGTTAACAGTTTTTGCAAGCTCGAGTTTTTTTTCGATGTTGCAGAAGATGAAACGTTTCTTTCGAACCTTAAATTGTTGTTGTTGGTAATTAAAGTGGTAGATGATGAAGATTGAAGAAAGTAAAAGAGGAATTTTGGAGAAGAGTTGGTTATACTTATTGCGTAGTTGCCAAAGTCGTTCCTTTGAACAGAAGTCTGGTATAGTGTAAAATCACCACCTTCGGATAGACATTTTAATTGAGCTAATCACGGATTCACGGCACATAGATTACTTGGTATAAAAAATAAAAATAAAAAAATAAAAAAGAATTTTTTTTTTTTATTTATTTTTTATTGTATTTTTTTTGACAAGGAGAACAAAGAACAACAAAACAAAACTAAAAAACAAAAGAAATTAACTCCCTACGCCGAGCCGCCCCCGCTAGATCATGAGCCTGAGAAAAGATGCCCTGGGCATAGGGGTGAAAGTAGTTTGGATAAAAACCGAAAACCGATCCAAACCAAACCGAACTAGAAATTCGGTTCGGTTTTTTCGTTTTTCGGTTTGGATTCGGTTCCAAAATCCTGAAACCGAATTATTTCGGTTTGGATTCGGTTCTGGTTCCTAAAAAACCGAAAACCGAAATCCAAACCGAAATGTTTAAAGCCCATATAGATTCCAGCCCAATTCCCCTACATATATATAGCAAACCCTAATTTTCTCCTTCATTTTTCTGACTTTCGGCCACCTTCACTCCTCAATTCCTCTACTTCCTCACCAAAACCCTTCATTTCCTTCACTCCGGCCACCGTATCTCACTCCGGCCACCGTATATTGTCTCCTTGGTCGAATATCAGTTCCTTTCTTCATATCTGGTGTTCGTAGACTTCGTACTCCCTCAATCCGCGACGCGCCACCACCTTCTGTTGCCACCACCTCTCTCAGTCACTCAAAGGTAAGGATTTTTTTATTTACTCCTCTTTTCCTCTTTCATTTGTTTTTTTGAATTGGGAATTTGAATTATGTTCGAATTAGGAATTTTGAGTTATTTCTGGGAAATTAATTTATTATGTTCGAATTGTGAAATTGAGTTATTAATTTATTATGTTCAAATTGGGAATTTTGATTTATCTCTGGGTTATTATGTTCGAATTGATTCCATTCAAATTGGTGATGTTTTGTTCAATCTTTATAGTGATGTTTTGTTCTGTTATGTTCAAATTGGTGAGTACTTATGTTATTTTTGATAGATTCATTATTTTATGAGCCTTATTTTTGTAGTATAATGATTAATTATCATATTTTTTTTTTTTCATTATGTCATATATATTATGTAACTTGTTTAATTTTTGAATGTTAGACTTGAAGAATATGAAAATTACTGATCCAATCAACCCAAACTTGGTTGAGCTTGATTGAATGCATGAAGAGTACGCTGCCAAGAAGAAGAAGCTAATGCCAGATTTGAATGAAGCTACTGCCAATCTGCCATACTGTCATTTTATGTTTAAGATTACTGTTGTGTTTGACTGTCTGTAATTTTTATTTTGGCTGGACAAACTCAAGTGTTGTAATTCGTGACATTAATTGTGGTGGTGGAAGCTTTGTCTAAAAATTTATGTTTTGTTCAGGAACAGGTACAAAAATTAGGTCTTTAAAAGGCCCAAAACTATTTGTCCAATAACAACCTAGAATTCAAGGCCCAAAAAAACAGCCCAAAGAAATTCGGTTCGGTTTGGATTCAATATCCAAAACCGAATTATTTCGGTTTGGATTGGATTGGATTGAATCCAAATTCGGTTTGGATTCGGTTTCAAAAATCCAAAACCGAAATAATTCGGTTTGGATACGGTTTGGGGTATAATCCAAACCAAATACCGAACTTTCACCCCTACCTGGGCACCTTACAAATGTGACAAACCGTGAAAGAAGTCAGCAATGCACGAATATCCTTAATAACCCAAGCCACTGTTATATCCGCAATCCCAGGACCTTAAAGTAACCGAGAAATCATTGAGCAGTCGGTAAGAAGCAAGACACGAGAAACACCTGACGAGAAGCATTAGGGGTGTACAGAGTGCGGTTTAGACCGCACCAAACCGCAAACCAAACCGCAATTTTGCGGTTTGGTGCAGTTTGCGATTTGAAAATTGCGGTGCGGTTTTTAAAAATTACCAAACCACGCTTTGCGGTTTGGTGCGATTTCCAAATATATTGAGACCAAACCGCACCGTGCGGTTTGCGATTTTTATACTATATTTTCATTAAAATTATATAAAAGAACTAAAATATATGAGCTAATCTTTAACTATTAGTTAGTTGTAGGTTAATAAAAAGAGTTTAATATTTGAATTATAAACAAATAATTATAAAATAAAATAAAAGTTTTGTTTTAAAAAGAATAATCTCAATTTTAATAAAATACGGTTAAACCGCAAATCGCACCGCACCGAACCGCATTTTGCGGTGCGGTTTGAAAAATTTACAGACCGCACTTTTGCGGTTTGGTGCGGTTTATGATCCAAACCGCACCGCGAACACCCCTAAGAAGCATGCTTCAAAGCAAAAAGGCAGGCCATAAGCTCAACTTGAAGAGCCGAATTAGCCATACAGGCACGAGCCCCCCCCCCCCCCCACTCACCACGCACCAACCCGCCCCAGCATTATGAGTTATGGCATCCCAAGCCCCATCAACACAAATAGACATATCACAAATGTCCCCACTGCCACCTCTAATCACATGAAGCAAAGGAGAACCAGGAAACCCAGGCGGACTACCAGAACAAGAACCACCAAACAAGCGAGCCGCTTTTCCCCTTTCACACCACGAAGATGCTAATAACTCAAGAATAGAATGCGGAGAAAACACCTCAGATCGGAATCGCACACTATTCCTTGTCAGCCAAATGGCCAACAGAAGACCAAACATCCTATCCAAGTTATCCCAGTCCCGCACATCAATCAGGGCAGAGATAAAACCCGAGAACCACATTGGCCAAGGACCAGAAAAAGTGGGAGTAAGTAAACGAGGTAAAGAGACCTCCCCCCATAGCCAGTGAGACAGTGACAGTCCCGAAACAAATGAGTGACCGTCTCTGATGCGCCACGGCAGAAAATGTAAGTAGGACCTACAGGAAGACCCTTAAGAGCGAGTAACGCAGTCATAGGAAGCGTTATGCATAATTTTCCAAGCAAACGTCTTCCATTTCGGAAAGAAGAGGATTACCCCACAAACGTTTCCAACAGCCTACAGCACTCCAACTAGGATCCAAATTGAAATGCTGAGACACTAAACAAGAGTAGGCTGACTTAGTAGAGAAAACACCATCCCTAGTGTACTTCCAGTACAAAAAATCATCAATCCTCTCCCTTGGAAGATCAAGACCAAGAATGGAAGAAGCAACAAGAGGAGGAAACAAATGACAAATCAAAGAAGCATTCCAAGCCCGCGAACCCGATAACATTAAATCAGAAACTACACGAGGACGCTCCTCATCAGGGATATCATCCTTAAAAGCAATCTTAACATGAGGAATCCAGCTATCAGATAAGATATTAATATTTTCCCCAGAACCAACCTTCCAAGATAAGCCTTTGGACAAGACTAGACCCCCTTCAAGAAGACCCCGACCACCCCAAGAAGGTCGAGACACAGAAATAGAAGGAGAATGCGAAAATATATCCGGATACTTAGCCTTAAGAACCCGGGAAGCTAAGAGTTGCAGCTTTCTCATAAGTCGCCAAGACTGTTTAGCCAAAAGGGCCTGGTTGAAAGACCGCAGGTGACGAATACCCAACCCCCCTAACCTTTCAGGGGAATGCAGAATCGCAGAGGAAGCCAAAGCCAACCCCTTAGTATCTTTACCTGACTTCCACAAAAATCGAGTCAACAGAGAATCCAACCGTTCACACACTGTAGTTGGAACCTTAAACACAGATAAAATATGATTAAAAGTAGCCACCAACACTGAATTAATAATTACCAGCTTTGCTGCCGAAGAAAGGTTAAGCGAAGCATATATAATACGAGAGGCGCTGGACCACCTTATCCACCAGGAACTGGAAAGCTTTACATTTACTTCGACCTAAGTCAACCGGAAGCCCTAGATAATAGCCTATTGACGACCTTGCTTCCATTCGCAAAGCCGAAGACAAATAATCTCGGAAATCAGCAGGAGTATTAGAGCTGAATTTCACAAACGACTTCTGCAAATTTATCATCTGACCAGAAATGGAACAAAACTCACTCGTAACCAAAAGAATCTGATCACAGGCTGACGGCGAAACCCGGAAAAATAACAAAGCATCATCAGCAAAAAACAAATGGGAAACAGAAGGCGCCCGACGAGAAATCTTCAAACCCTGGAACAGACCTCGTTGTTCATCTTGGCGCAACATTAAAGAAAAGATCTCCATACATAATACAAATAGTTATGGAGATAAAGGGTCGCCCTGACGGAGACTACATTTAGGTTTGAAGGGCTGAGAAAGCGAACCATTAACCAGGATTTGGTAGGAAACAGTAGTAACACACTGTTGTAAGATATGAACCCAATACGGAGGAAACCCAAAACGCCGCAAAACCTCCCATAAAAACTCCCAGTTCACTCTATCATAAGCTTTATTCATGTCAAGTTTCAAAGCAGCCGAACAAGCTTTAGAATTAGAGGAGGCCATAAATGAAAGCAGTTCATGAGCCAGTAATCCATTATCATCCAGAATCCGACCTAGAACAAAGGCATTCTGGGTATCCGAAATAAGAGAAGGCAAAACACAACGTAAACGATGCGAGAGACACTTCGCAATGCACTTATACAACACATTACAAAGGCCAATCGAACGAAAATGAGAGGGGGTTTCCTGGTGATCAACCTTTGGAAGCAAAGTCAAGAACGTGCGGTTCCATTCTTTTAATAAATAACCATGCGCAAAAAAGTATCGAATTGCACTCGTAATCTGACTGCCAATCACCCCCCAATGCGATTTGAAGAACCCCGCTGTAAAACCATCCGGACCAGGCGCCTTATCATCACCAATATGAAACATTGCCTCTTTAATTTTAGCATCCGTAAACGGAGACATAAGAAATTGATAATCATTCAAAGACACTATTGGCACATTTAGACTGTCCCAATCACAAATTTGAGGAGAAGGAGAAGTAAATTATAAATAACCGGGAAATGTTGCTGTAAAAGATCAGCTATACCAGCCTGGTCCGAGATCCAATTATCATCTCCATCTCGTAAACTCATAATTTTATTTCGTCTTT